TTGAGGAAGAGAGAGGGGCAGACTAGCAGAGATTATTGAGGAAGAGGAGAGGGGCAGACTAGCAGAGATTGTTGAGGATTATGAGAGGGCAAGGCTAGTAGAGATTGTTGAGGAATAGGGGAGGGCAGACTAGCAGAGATTGTTTGAGGAAGAGGAGAGGGCAGACTAGCAGAGATTGTTGGAGGAAGAGGGGAGGGCAGACTAGCAGAGATTGTTGAGGAAGAGGAGAGGGCAGACTAGCAGAGATTGTTGAGGAAGATGAGAGGGCAGGCTAGCAGAGATTGTTGAGGAAGAGGAGAGGGCAGACTAGCAGAGATTGTTGAGGAAGAGGAGGAGGGCAGACTAGCAGAGATTGTTGAGGAAAAGGAGAGGGCAGGCTAGCAGAGATTGCTGAGGAAGAGGAGAGGGCAGACTAGCAGAGATTGTTGAGGAAGAGGAGAGGGCAGACTAGCAGAGATTGTTGAGGAAGAGGAGAGGGCAGGCTAGCAGAGATTGTTGAGGAAGAGGAGAGGGCAGACTAGCAGAGATTGTTGAGGAAGAGGAGAGGGCAGGCTAGCAGAGATTGTTGAGGAAGAGGAGAGGGCAGACTAGCAGAGATTGTTGAGGAAGAGGAGAGGGCAGGCTAGCAGAGATTGTTGAGGAAGAGGAGAGGCAGACTAGCAGAGATTGTTGAGGAAGAGTGAGAGGCAGGCCAGCAAGATTGTTTATAAGAGGGTGAGGCAGACTAGCAGAGATTGTTGAGAAGAGGAGAGGGCAGACTAGCAGAGATTGCTTAGGAAGAGGAGAGGGCAGGCTAGCAGAGATTGTTTATAAAGAGTAGAGGCAGACCAGCAGAGATCCCTTGCGCAATTCTATAGCTACCGTAATCCCGTCCCAGCACGCGCTTCCCCTCACAATTCCATTCCAATCTATTTAGTTTTTTCGTTCTTTTGGATTTTGGGCATGCTAGCAGATATTATTGAGGAAGAGGAGAGGGCAGACTCAGCAGAGATTGTTGAGGAAGAGGAGAGGGCAGACTAGCAGAGATTGTTGAGGAAGAGGAGAGGGCAGACTAGCAGAGATTGCTGAGGAAGAAGGAGGGCAGACTAGCAGAGATCACTTGCGCATTCTATAGCCTACTGTAATCCCGTCCCAGCACGCGCCTCCCCACAATTCCATTTCTATACATCTGCACGCACCCCATTTTTTCTGCCCTACTACTCCGTGAATTCCGGCTGTACAAATGGGGACTACGCCCCGTTTCTTGGACGCCTTGAAATTCCAAGGATTGGGGGCGAAGTTTGGACCCGCGGATTTGGCACAAAGCCTGAATTCATATTTTTGGCTTCGAGGTCTGTTTGAGGGCATAAAAGTGGATTAGCCAGGGTTTGACGCTCGGTTTTTGCCGCCATGATACGGTAGTTGCGTTGCGTTTAGAAGGCTGTTTCTGTTCAGACAGTATGAAATTGAGAGTCGGGTTATTTGGAACGAATCCTGCGCTTAAATGACCATTGAAGTGAGGGGAAACCCAGTGGAAAGGGCACGTTTTGGTTTTGTCAGAAGAAGCTGACGTAGTTCGCGGATTTAGTGCCAGAGACCCGACGCTCCTGGAGAGTTCTCTGCCAGCCTGCCCTCTCCCTTCCTCAACAATCTCTGCTAGCCTGCCCTCTCCTCTTCCTCAACAATCTCCTAGCCTGCCCTCTCCCTCTTCCTCAGCAATCTCTGCTAGCCTGCCCTCTCCTCTTCCTCAACAATCTCTGCTAGCCTGCCCTCTCCTCTTCCACAACAATCTCTGCTAGCCTGCCCTCTCCTCTTCCTCAACAATCTCTGCTAGCCTGCCCTCTCCTCTTCCTCAACAATCTCTGCTAGCCTGCCCTCTCCTCTTCCTCAGCAATCTCTGCTAGCCTGCCCTCTCCTCTTCCTCAACAATCTCTGCTAGCCTGCCCTCCCCTCTTCCTCAACAATCTCTGCTAGCCTGCCCTCTCCTCTTCCTCAACAATCTCTGCTAGCCTGCCCTCTCCTCTTCCTCAACAATCTCTGCTAGCCTGCCCTCTCCTCTTCCTCAACAATCTCTGCTAGCCTGCCCTCTCCTCTTCCTCAGCAATCTCTGCTAGCCTGCCCTCTCCTCTTCCTCAACAATCTCTGCTAGCCTGCCCTCTCCTCTTCCTCAGCAATCTCTGCTAGCCTGCCCTCTCCTCTTCCTCAACGATCTCTGCTAGCCTGCCCATCGGTTCCGTTCTACTCCAACAAACATCATACAACCCGAGTGGGAATTCTGTCCCAAACACCACCAGATATTCCCAGACTAATTTATGCCATTCCCCCCGTCAAAAGCTCAGTGCCCTTATTTTGCTGTAGTTGCCCTCGTGGGGCCCTGAGAATCTGTTCCGATTATCCCCCAGCCGCGTCTATAGTGAAGGGGGTAGGAGAGTGAGGGTTGAACTCCAAGGTTATTCGGACCGACGCAGAAGAGATTCCACTTTTCCTGCGGTTGTACCTTTCCGCCATTTTGATCTCAAATTTACCGTATTTTTGCTCTAAACCAAAATTCTTGAGAACGAGTGCTTGCTCTTGCTCGTTTTTGCTATATTTTACAACCTGCAGCTCAAAGCGTCCTAATTTTCAGCAACCATTTTCAGCAAGAAAAATGGTCCCAATCTACCAAGTGGTGGCGAACCTGTTCGCACTGGTGATCCTCTACGAGCTGTACACCATCGCGTCGGTGTTGTACGCCGTTTGGAAGTCGGTTTTCTCTTTCTCTCTCCCTCTCTCTCTCGCTATTTTGTATTTTTAGAGGGAGCTTCTGCACTGAAAATCTCCCATCTAACATCATCTCGACGTCGAACTCGTGACGGATTTTTGATGCTCATCGTGCACCTCTTCTATTTTGTGCCCACAATGTTTATGCAGGTTGGAAATTTAAGGGTTGGCCGAAACCTAAGCCGAAGTCAGCCTAAGCCTAAGCCGAGCTTAAGCTGCCTAAGCCAAATTCAAGCCTAAGCCTAAAGCCTAAGCCAAATCTCAAGCCTAAGCCTAAGCCAAAGTCAAGCCTGCCTCCCCAAGCCAGCTAAGCCTAAGCCAAAGTCAAGCCTAAGCCTAAGCCTAAGCCAAAGTCAAGCCTAAGCCTAAGCTTAAGCCTAAGCCAAAGTCAAGCCTAAGCCTAAGCCTAAGACAAACCTAACATGAATTCAAGCTTTTTTGAGAGAGAGAGAAAGAGCGATAGAAATAGAGAGAGAGAGAGAGAGAGAGAGATAGCGAGAGAGAGTGTACGAGAGAATACTAAAAAGGGCTGGCAGAGGTATTGCCCAAAAACTAAAGTTCCCAGAGCACATAATTTCAAATACTGTGCATTTCCTGGTAGCCGCAATCGCCCCCAGGCACGCGGGCAGCTGTGAGCTTCCCCGTGGTTTTGTTTGGCTGTGTGAACGTCACCGTCCTAAGATCGAAAGATCGACAACTAAAAACGACCAAAAACTGAAGGTGCGGGGCGGCCTAGCAAAGGCAATTTGCGGAATTTCAGTCGTGGATCTTCCCAAAGGGCATCGACGATCAGGGGACCATCTTCTTCTCATCGCTCTTCATGGTGCTCTGGTATCAATCGTCGTTCAGCCAGATTCTGATGGCCGTCAATAGGTGGGCAGGCTAGCAGAGATTGTTGAGGAAGAGGAGAGGGCAGGCTAGCAGAGATTGTTGAGGAAGAGGAGAGGGCAGGCTAGCAGAGATTGTTGAAGAAGATGAGATGGCAGGCTAGCAGAGATTATCGAGGAAATTCCAGGCTGTGCGTGATGTGCTTCTCCCGTTGGACCATCTTCACCCGCCGCAGCACCACCGTCATCACGCTGGGCATCTACCCGGTGGCCCTCATCCTGGCCGCGTTGTCCCAGTACATCCTGCCCTGCTGTCGGTGGGTTTTTGGGTTTTGCAGAGGCAGCACTTTTCCAACGATTCTCTAGTCTCGACATCATACCGAACTTTTTGAGCCGCACAAATTGTTGTGTATTTATTCTGGAAACGGAGTCTAGGAGCGGATCAAAAATCCCCGAATATTCGAGTACCGTTTTCCCATTCCCACCGTAACTATACGCCGAACGGGAAAGCAAGCCCAAAGCCGTTTTTTGCGTCAAGTAAAAAGATCTACGGCCCGTTCCGGGAAACTAGACTGAGAGAATGTCGCATTGTGCGGGCGTAATTAGGTGCACGAGTGCTTCGTTGAAATTTATTTCGAAATTTTCAAGCGGGAGCTGATGTTTGACCATCGGGGCAATCTGGAAAGGAAAATCCGAAGACTAAACTACGCCTAAGCAAAATTTGAAGCCGACTTATCTCTTCATAGGATTGTGCTACAGGAATGTCAGATGGCGCATTTGAAAGTGTAGAAAATTGGCTACACAGCCCAATCAAAAACCGGAGTAAGTCTAAGCTAAGCTTCCGAAGCCTAAGCAAAATTTTAAGCCGACGTATCTCTTCGCAAGAATATCCTACAGAAATGAGATATAGTGCGTTTGAAAGAACCAGAAAAATACTACAAAGCCTAATCATAACCCAAACTAAGCCTCAGCAAACCGCGCCTAAGCCTAAGCCTAAGCCCCTAATAAGCCCTAAACCCCTAAGCCTAAGCCTAAGCCTAAGCCTAAGCCTAAACCTAAACCTAAGCCTAAGCCTAAGCCTAAGCGTAAGTCTAAAAGCCTAAGGCTAACTTCAAGTCGCTCTAACTTCTTGCAGGAATGTGCTAGAGACATGAGAGATGGCGCATTTGAAATGGCAGAAAATCAAGCCGAATTAAAACCGAAGTAAGCCTAAGCTCAGCTTACGAAGCCCAAGCTAAGCCTAATCAAAATTTGAAATTCCTGTAGGATCTTCTTCAAAAAGAAGATCCTACAGGAATGTGACGTAGCGCTTTTGAAAGGGTTTGAAAGAGGGCAGGCTAGCAGAGATTGTTGAGGAAGAGGAGAGGGCAGGCTAGCAGAGGCCATTTTCGGATGTCAAACCATGATCATAATCCATTCCAACATTTATTCACACAAATAAACACCCCGAAGAAGAATCGCCACACGCGGCGCATTAATAGAGCAACAGCGAAAAAAACACCAGCGTAATTGGGGGGTGGGTGGGTTAACAGCCGCGGGGCCAACTTGGAAGACGACACGAAATTCCAGCGTTCATTTTAAAGGGACGGCGACGGCCGGGTGGGCGGCTCACAGGCTCAGGTCGGCGCCCATCGCCGTCGATGGGTGGACCTGAAAAGCGGGAGAAATGATCGCTGCTGGCATCCCCCTGGGGGCGTCCTCAAGAATCTCTGCTAGCCGGCCCACCTCAATGTGGGTGTACTGCAGCTTGGAGGGGTCGCGGTTGGCCATCATTTCCTTCGGCTCGCGACGATCACCCGGCTCGACGGGCAGGGATTCCACCTGAATGCAAGCTGAAGCTTAAGCACTAGCCCAAGCCTAAGCCTAAGCCTAAGCCTAAGATAAGCTTAAACGTAAGCCTAAGGCCAAGCCTGGGCTCAAGCCTACGCCTAAGCCCAAGCCTAAGCCTAAACATTATACTCTGCCATACCCCCAGGGGGTATACCCCCCATGGGGGTACAAAAGGGTACGAGGTGGGGGTACAGCAGGGGTACGGGGTGGGGTACAAAGGGAGTACCCCACCCCCTACCCCCCCACCCCCCCCACCCCCCTCCCCCCCAGCAACCCAACAGATTTTTCCAGTTACCTCCCACGCATACCACATATCGGTGGCTCGCAAAAATTCAGGAAGAAATGACGAAGTCCGCCGGAATTTCACCAAGGCAGTTAATAAATACGAAACTTGAACTAAACATTTTTTAAATTTTTGTGATTTTTTCCACTTAAAAAATGTCTGAATTTTACTAAAAACATTATTGAAACTCTTACTATAACGTTACCAGGGGTTTCTGGGTTTATTTCAAAAAGATTGGTCCGCCGATAAACTTTCAACTTAAAAAAATGTTTAGTTTAAATTTGGTATTTTATTAACTGCCTTGCTACAATTCCAGCTGACTTCGTCATTTCTTTTTGTATTTTTGCGATCCACCGACATGTGGTATATGTGGGAGGTCGCTAGAGAAAAATTTGCTGTGCTGCTGGAGAGTACCCCATTTGTACCCCCACCCGTACCCCTTTGTACCCCACCCCGTACCCCCTTTGTACCCCCACCTCGTACCCCTTTTGTACCCCCATGGGGGGTATACCCCCTGGGGGTACTAAACATACCTTGATCTTCGAGCAGTCCGTCGGCGGCCTAGTGACAGTGATGCAGAGGAAGCAGTGCTTGCCCGCATCCAGCGTCCCGTACGCAGGATCGCAGCGGAACAGCGACGCATCCGAGCACCTCACCTTGAACACGCGCAGCCCCTTGCCCGTGTTCGTCAACTTCAGCTTCACCTAGGAGAAGGGTAGGCTAGCAGGTACCGTTTTGGAATTCGTACCTGCGAAAGGGAGTCCTGCCACTTGAAGCGCTCCTTGCTGACCTTCAGCGCGACGTCCTTGTTGAGGAAGCGCGGGTCGAACGGGTCGAAGTTGCCGGGCACATAGCCGCCCACCCCGCGCCGCTCCGACGCGAAAACGACGTCTTCGCCGTGCTTTCGTACCTGGAAAGGGGTAGAATTCCGCAAGGATCTCGGCTAGCTTGCTTAGGCGCCTAGAAGAGCCCCCCCCGCTAACAGTCCAGAACCCTGCCCCGGCCGACCTGCTTGAAGTTGGGCTGGACGGCGCTCTGCTGCCGATGGATATCGTGGGACGAGGCTTTGCGGGCGGCTTCCAGCTTCTCGCGCTCCTCGTCCTTGACGTTCATCTGGAGAAGGGCCTCTCCTCCTCCGCAGCTGCTCTCAAAGTCGACCGGCGAGCCGGCCATGGTCGGCGCAAGAGACTGATTGCCATCGGTGCCGTCGTGTACCGCCTAAACGCGTTAATAGCGGTATCCGGAGACAAGATCGCAGATGCCCTACCACAGCCGACCATCTGCCTACTGTATCTCGGCTCCCTGTTGGTCTACAAGTGTGCAAAATATACCAAAATGTTCCTCTTGATCTGGCGAGTATTTTCGTACACTTTACATACTTGTAGCGCAACGGGGAGCCGAGATACGGGGTTACCCGGTCGCCACTTAACCTCGAAAACGGTGCACTGAAAGTCGGAGTCCTTCTTCCGGAGATTCTCGTCCTTTTCGCCTCCGCGCTTGGTCACCGGCTTCTTCGACTTTTGCGGCCCGGCCGATTTGCCGGCTAGAAAAGGGATTTTTGAGAGAAGCCCTGGACTTACAGTCGCACGACGTCTTCTCCTTCACCACCTTCTGCATCTTGGACATGGCTGAAATAGAATTCCTCAAAAATCGCTGCTGATTTGTCGTAGTCTCCCGTGAAGAATCTCTGCTAGCCTGCCCTCTCCTCTTCCTCAACAATCTCTGCTAGCCTGCCCTCTCCTCTTCCTCAACAATCTCTGCTAGCCTGCCCTCTCCTCTTCCTCAACAGTCTCTGCTAGCCTGCCCCTTTAAAGTTCCTATAAAACCAAACCTTTGCCCTTCCCCTCCTTGCTCCTGCCCTCCTTGCTCTTGTTCGCCCGGGGGGCATCCTTCTTGGCTTTGCTCTCTTTGGATCTGGAAGGGCGATAGATAGAAGGTCAGCGAGCGAGCGAGAGAGAGAGTGAGAGAGAGAGAAAGAGACATCTCTACCCACTTCGGTGTCTTTGGCGTTTTTGGAGTTTTGGCGGGCTCTTTCGACTTGCTCTCCTTGCTCTTCCCCTTGCCCTCCTTGCTCTTCCCTTTCGGCATCCTGCGGGCTGGCTACCGTAGATGGGTGGCTGGAAAATATCCTCGATTTTAGCTGCTACCCATTAGCATCCCAAAAACATCATAATTTGCATAAAACCCACGAGTAGGCTGGAAAAGGCTGAGCGACGATCGAGTAAAGGAAAAGTGATGGGGGGAGCCTGAAAAAAACGTTGCTGGGAATTCCGGAAGTTCGGGACTTGCATTCAAATCGGGATTCTGCTAGCCTGCTCTAGCTCTAGCCTGCCTGTCGGGATTTTTTGGGTTTCCCCCACTTCCTAAACGTGCACTGCTAGTATCCCTAAGCCCAACTGCCCTCCCCAAAGGTTTCCAAGCCTAAGCCCAAGCCAAGCCTAAGCCTAAGCCTAATATAAGACGCAGCCGACACCTAATCCTAAGCCAGAGCCTGAGCCTAAGTCCAAACCTAAGCCTAAGCTGCCTGCCGCTTTCCGCTAGTTCTCAGCGCTTCCACCAAGAATCTCTGCTAACCTGCCCACCGTATTCCCTCCTTTTCAGGTTCTCCTTCAACTATCAGGTGTACTCGTACAGCTACGTGCAGCTGCCCGGTATCCCTAACTACCCGAATATGTACATCGACTTACCGCTCAACTCCACGTCGACAATCATTTGCATCCTATGCTATTCCTGGGTAAGGATTAGGAGTTGTAAGGCTTTAAAGGACCAATGAAGGCCTGAACCGTCAAAAATCTATAACAACCTTTCCAGATCGTACGCTGGATCTACCGTCTCAGCGCCCAGACGGAGACAGCAGCAGGGTGCGATAAAAGCCGCAAGAGAAAGAATATGGAAATCAAGGTGGGGCAGCTAGCAGAGATTGTTGAGGAAGAGGAGAGGGCAGGCTAGCAGAGATTGTTGAGGAAGAGGAGAGGGCAGGCTAGCAGAGATTGTTGAGGAAGAGGAGAGGGCAGGCTAGCAGGGATTGTTGAGGAAGAGGAGAGGGCAGGCTAGCAGAGATTGTTGAGGAAGAGGAGAGGGCAGGCTAGCAGAGATTGTTGAGGAAGAGGAGAGGGCAGGCTAGCAGAGATTGTTGAGGAAGAGAAGAGGGCAGGCTAGCAGAGATTGTTGAGGAAGAGGAGAGGGCAGGCTAGCAGAGATTGTTGAGGAAGAGGAGAGGGCAGGCTAGCAGAGATTGTTGAGGAATATAAATGGCATGATTTCCCTTATTTTAGTACGCCAAACAATTCTTCCTGATCTCGATCTTCTACCTAAATGCTTGGACGAGTTTCCGCTACTTGCCGCCGGTTCGTTAACCGTTAATATAAACCCAGAGCGAGAGATGGAGAGAGAGAGAGAGAGAGAGAGCAAAAAATGTTCCAGATCTTCGGCAATCAACACCTATGGCTGTACTCGTTCTGCTCGTTGAACGTTCTGCTCAACTACGGGGCTAATGGCCTGGTGTATTTCCATACCAATCAGGAGGTAACATACCTTAAGCGACTTTAAGGCAGGGGCACGTCAAAAAGACGCATTACAAATTTTAGCGGGTTTTAAAGGGAGCATAAGCGTTGAAAACAAGTCTTTTTTTGTTATTTTGACCATCAATGGCATGACTTCTTACCTTAAATTTTTATTTTTACAGATCCAATCTATGCTGCGTCGCGGCTCAACCGGCACTTCCGATTATCACTCCTCGACGAAGGGCCCGAGAATCTACACCACCACCGATCAACAGTCGAAATCTGTGCATGATTAAATGTAGTTGGACAAGCATTATGCTGATTTTTTAAGATTTTACAACGTACCTTTCTCTCTCCCTCTCACGCTCTCTCTCACTTTCTCTCTCTATCCCTCTTTCTCCCTCGCCCTGTCACGACCCCTTTAAAGGCCGATTACTTTCCTCAAGACGTCAATAAATATTTCCAATAACATAACAAACCGACGCCGAAACCTAAGCCTAAGCATAAGTCTAAGCCTATGTCGAGGACTAAACCTAAGCCGAAGCCTAAGCCTAACCTAAGCCTACGCCTAAGCCTAAGCCTAAGTCTAAGCCTAAGCCTAAACCTAAGCCTAAGCATAAGCCTAACAAGGGAACCTCACGGAGACATGGTGGAATTTCGGAAACGCTCGCGGCTACCCCCGGGTAATCGGCCATTGCGATCACGATGCGGTTGTCAGATTTTTCTAAATAGACCTGTGGACAGAGATACAGCACTTCCGGAAAATGCTGATTTACATGCAAAAAATTTGCATAGAAGGATGGTTTATAAGGCTCTCCCATCACTATGGAATCACCAGTTTAATGGCCGAGTGGTAAGCGACTCACTTGGTAGGATGCTGACGAGGGTTCGAATCCGCTCATGATTTTTTTGGTTTTGCTTTTGCCAGAGATTTTTGTACAAGTGCAAAATCATACGTGCTAAAGTACTTATAAATTTTATGACAGTTGTCGACGTTACGTGGTCAGAAAATTATTCTTGGGAAATTTTTTTCATTTTTTTGCAGATGGCCAGGTGTAGGAACTCTAGCCGGCAGAACTGATTTCCATTTTTCGATTTTTTTTTCCTTTAATGGCTAAACATTAGGGAATTCGCGCTAATACTGGCAACATTCTGGACTTACAAAAATCTGGCAAAAAGCAAAAACAAAAAATCATGAGCGGATTCGAACCCTCGTCAGCATCCTACCAAGTGAGTCGCTTACCACTCGGCCATTCAACTGGTGATTCCATAGTGATGGGAGAGCCTCATAAACCATCCTTCTATGCAAATTTTTTGCATGTAAATCAGCATTTTCCGGAAGTGCTGTATCTCTGTCCACAGGTCTATTTAGAAAAATCTGACAAGCGCATCGTGATCGCAATGGCCGATTACCCGGGGGTAGCCGGGAGCGTTTGCCGAAATTCCACCATGTCTCCGTGAGGTTCCCTTGTAAGCCTAAGCCTCAACCTAAGCCTAAGCCTAAGCCTAAGCCTAACCTAACTAGGGAATGTTTTCGGGCGGACATCGGGCCCAGATATGTGAGTATGTGCATCTTGTAGAGCTCGACGAGACGAATCGATTGATGTAACTTTTAGCTGCTGATACCTTATTTTAACAAAGTTACAACGGTTTAAAGTTTTTGGCGATACCTTCATAGGCCCTCCCCACGCCCCGACCATCGTGTCCTGGTAGCCTAGTGGCTTAGTAGTCGGCGTTTAGAGATAGTAACGAGGGTACGGATCCGCTCACGATTTTTATTTTTTGCTTTTTGGCCGAAAGCTTCCTGTTCGCACCCCCGAAGATCTACACAAAATTTTAAAAGTTTTTTGTTTATAGGGACCTATATCAAATTCGTGGGTGACGGTATTTAGTGGTTTTATATTTGCAAGCACAACCAATGTTGATGACTTCCAGCGAAAAATCTCTGTGTTCCCTTTATGCTTATTATGTGGATATAGAGGCCTTAGAAATCCAGATAAAATTTTTAAAAAAGTTTTATGTAGACCTTCGGGGGTGCAAAAAGGAAGCTTTCGGCCAAAGAGCAAAAAATAAAAATCGTGAGCGGATCCGTACCCTCGTTACTATCTCCAAACGCCGACTACTAAGCCACCAGGCTACCAGGACACGATGGTCGGGGCGTGGGGAGGGCCTATGAAGGTATCGCCAAAAACTTTAAACCGTTGTAACTTTGTTAAAATAAGGTATCAGCAGCTAAAAGTTACATCAATCGATTCGTCTCGTCGAGCTCTACAAGATGCACATACTCACATATCTGGGCCCGATGTCCGCCCGAAAACATTCCCTAGTAAGCATCATCGACGACATTCCGCCCGAATCCATAACTTACGACAGACACGCTCAAGCAAGTTTCTGAGACAAATTTATAGCCAGCGCTACGGGCAGCTGCTATTTCCAGCCGTGGTCAAGTCCTGGAATTAATTAAAAATTTATTAAAAAACTTGTTCTCAGAATATGAGCAGCAGGAGGTAGGAAGTGAGTGAGAGAGAGAGAAAGAGAGAGAGAGAGAGAGAGAGAGAGAGACGCAGGGCAAATTCGGTTCCTGCTTTCGGAGGTTAGCTATTTTAGGGTCAGCAGTATTGTAGCGGGCGTGGGGCTCAAAATCAGCCTCTTGACAGGAAGGTCAGCTTTTTCGATCCTTTTTCGAGATCTAAATTAGGTGGTACAGGGTCAGTTTTCGAGAGAGAGGGAAGGGCAGAGAGAGAGAGTGAGAGAGAGAGAAAGAGAAAGCGAGAGAAAGACAGACAGAGAAATTAACCCTTTCTCGACCAAACCTCAAACCCCAAACTCCATGTTTATTCATACCAAGTGAGGCTGCACCCCGATTATTTATGCGGCGTTTTTACAGCCCTGCAAATGACAGCCAATCCCCCTGCACCGTGTTTTCCAGGTTTCGCCGCAAATTTACGTGATTTTAGGAAATTTTTCGGGAAGAGCCAAATCAAATTCAGCCCTGCTGTCACAATCCCTTTAAAACGCTTTTGTCACCCATATTTCCAACATATTGCTCCTGTCTTCCCCGATTCCCCCCGTCCTGGCCATATTTCGCAGCGACGGGCCAACGACAAAGCCACAAAAATTTATCACCCCACCGGGCTTTTGCCCTGGGGCGGTGCCCCCAGGGCATAAGCCCCGGCCGGCCGTTCTGACGTAGAAGACGTGGCTTTTCCGAATATTGCCCCTTCCCCCCCCCCCACGCAACTAGACTACGCTTGTATTAAGGGCTGGAGTTCCTAAAGAATCAGTGCTAGCCTGCCCTCTCCTCTTCCTCAACAATCTCTGCTAGCCTGCCCTCTCCTTTTCCTCAACTATCTCTGCTAGCCTGCCCTCTCCTTTTCCTCAACAATCTCTGCTAGCCTGTCCTCTCCTCTTCCTCAACAATCTCTGCTAGCCTGTCCTCTCCTCTTCCTCAACAATCTCTGCTAGCCTGCCCTCTCCTCTTCCTCAACAATCTCTGCTAGCCTGCCCTCTCCTCGTCCTCAGCACTCTCTGCTAGCCGTCTCTACGGTAGAATAAATCAGCAAAACTTCTATTAGAAAGTGCAACTTCACTCAGAATATCAGTACCGCGACCCCCCATCCGCTCAAAAATTCCATTAGCATAAAACCACCTGTGGACGCTGCAACGTGTGTTTTCTGTTTAAATATTCTAGCACGGGGCCAAAAATGGGTTCATTCCACCGGACAAAGAATGGATGGAATTTTCTAAAAAAAGATCACACACTGGATTTGATGTAAATTTGATTTCCTTGATTTCAAAGGCTCGTCTGTTGTCCACTCTTTCTCTCTGCACCTCTCTCTTTCTCTCTCTTTCTCTCTCATTCTTTCTCTGTCGCGTTTGTGAGTTAATTCAATCTTTTATTGCGAAGGGGCTTTTCCCTGGAGAAAGATGCAAAGAGTGAAAGCAGAAGAATGAGAGCTAGTGAGAGAGAGAGTGAGAGAGAGAGATGAGAGAGATATTTATTGAAAAAGCCTGATTTAAAAGCGTAGGCGAATCGCGGCACTGCGGTAATGGCGATAACTTACTTTTACCGAAAATTGAGTTTTAAAGTTCCACACTATGAGTTTCAATGAAATCGGGGAGCAAAAAAATTACAATAACCCCAGCAGAGATTTTTGAGGAAGAGGAGAGGACCGGTTAGTAGAGATGGCAACTCTCAACCTGCGGCTATTTTCAGCCCTAATCCTCCAAATTTAGAAGTGTTCCCCCGGGTTTGTATGAGCTGTTCTTTGTTGTCTTTTGGGAATTCGGGTTGACCCTCGGCGGGTTCATATTTTGACGAGAAAATTGATGTCAGCGGGTGAAGAGGGGGCCCTTGGCGGGACCCAGACATACACACACGCCCGCCCGTCGACCCGAACAGAGCGCGGCCCGGAAAAATGATGTAGTGGGCGTGTAACAGATGTTAGACATCGTGACGGTTTTATACACTTTGTTTAAAGTTATAGCCAATTTTCTATGCTGGGGCTCTTGCTCTCCTCTCTCTCTCTCTCTCTCTCTCTCTCTCTCTCTCTCTCTCTCTCTCTCTCTCTTGCTCTCTCTCTTCTCTCTCTCTCTCTCTCTCTCTCTTGCTCTCTCTCTCTCTCTCTCTCTCTCTCTCTCTCTCTCTCTCTCTCTCGCTCTCGTTCTTTATCAAACTGAATCTAGCTCAAACTCAATCAGTCCATTAGGGTTTTTGAAAATTCACGTCCCCGGTCCTCAACAATCTCTGCTAGCCTGCCCTCTCCTCTTCCTCAACAATCTCTGCTAGCCTGCCCTCTCCTCTTCCTCAACAATCTCTGCTAGCCTGCCCTCTCCTCTTCCTCAACAATCTCTGCTAGCCTGCCCTCTTCTCTTCCTCAACAATCTCTGCTAGCCTGCCCTCTCCTCTTCCTCAACAATCTCTGCTAGCCTGCCCTCTCCTCTTCCTCAACAATCTCTGCTAGCCTGCCCTCTCCTCTTCCTCAACAATCTCTGCTAGCCTGCCCTCTCCTCTTCCTCAACAATCTCTGCTAGCCTGCCCTCTCCTTTCCTCAATAATCTCTGCTCGCCGGCTCCTTTCAGGGCCCTTCCCGGGCGGTGTAATTTGAATGTCCCTCCCTCCATTGACTACGCGCATTCCTAATTACACCCCGATAAATTAACTCGGCGCCGATGTTGCATTACTGATCGCGGGGCTCATCAGAAAGAGCGGGGATTTTTCCTCAACCCCCAATTCCGCGAAGGCGGCATCGTTTTTCCGGGCGTCGGCGAGGCGTTCTTGCTAATTTCCAGGCCCGGCTAGCCGTTGCGATTTGCACAAATCATTCCGGGTCGAAACTACGGTGTCTCCTGAAAATTGTAAGTTTTCGCCCATCCCAAAAACTTGAATTTATGTGGTTTGTAGTTTCCGGCATTCAGCCTAAACAGAACTTTCTTCCTGGTAGCTTATAATTATCGCTAAAGGTGCGCGCCAGGGCTACCGTAACCCAGGAAAAGCCCAAAATTCCGGGTGCACTAAAGTAATTAAGCATTTATTGGGGTAGAGGGCGTAAATATTATAATTGTCCTGGCTCGCTCTATCTCCCTCTCTCTCGCTCTCTCTCTCTCTCGTCTCTGTCTCTGTCTCTTTCTTACTATCTCTCTCGCTTCTTTCAAATTACTTCCGGGCCCCCTAATTTATTCAGCCCTTTTTGTATAACCCCCGAAAATGGGTTTTTCGCCAATTATGAAAAAATTGAGTCTCAGCTGGCGTCATTTGTCCAGAACGGAATTTCATGATTTTTAGCGTTTGTTTTGGTCCGAAGCCTAAGCCGAACCTAAGCCTAAGCCTATTCCTGAGCCTAAACCTAAGCCTTTCGGGCCTCCGAAATACGCCAAATTTCGACCCCTCCCGCCCACATTTTGGGCTTTGTTTTTGTGCGTAAGGGAGTCTCCCGAAAATCGCTTTATAGGACGACGCCACGCGCCCAAATCTGATAGTTTGTCCCTAGGCTATGCCAGCCTCTTCCGGCCCGATTTTGCCGTTTTTAAAGGGGCTGGGAAGGCATGAATCGGAATTTTATCGATAGCAGAGACTGGCTAGGGCGTTGAGGAAGAGGAGAGCGCAGGCTAGCAGAGATTGTTGAGGAAGAGGAGAGGGCAGGCTAGCAGAGATTGTTGAGGAAGAGGAGAGGGCAGGCTAGCAGAGATTGTTGAGGAATAGGAGAGGGCAGGCTAGCAGAGATTGTTGAGGAAGAGGAGAGGGCAGGCTAGCAGAGATTGTTGAGGAAGAGGAGAGGGCAGGCTAGCAGAGATTGTTGAGGAAGAGGAGAGGGCAGGCTAGCAGAGATTGTTGAGGAAGAGGAGAGGGCAGGCTAGCAGAGATTGTTGAGGAAGAGGAGAGGGCAGGCTAGCAGAGACTGTTGAGGAAGAGGAGAGGGCAGGCTAGCAGAGATTGTTGAGGAAGAGGAGAGGGCAGGCTAGCAGAGATTGTTGAGGAAGAGGAGAGGACAGGCTAGCAGAGATTGTTGAGGAAGAGGAGAGGGCAGGCTAGCAGAGATTGTTGAGGAAGAGGAGAGGGCAGGCTAGCAGAGATTGTTGAGGAAGAGGAGAGGGCAGGGTAGCAGATATCCAAGCAAACATTTTTGACAAACTGCTCCGACTATAGCCACCACCCTCATTCCACCATTAATGCGTGGATCGCGTTCTTGGTGCTCATTTAGCGCTGGTGTTTATATGCTAATTGGCTGCATAAAAGCGGCTTTTCGCCGAGAGACCAAACAACTTTTGATCTGGGCTTAGGTTAGGCTTAGGCTTAGGCCCAGCCCTTTTTGTCAAAACGAGACTCTACTTCCGATATTATTCTGTCTTCCGGTGCTCCTTGATCATCCCCTCATCATGCTCATGCTCAGATAAACATCCCCCCTGGCTTCATTCAACCCCAGAAACCAGGGGCGAGGGCAATTTTCCGCCCGATACTCTGATGCCATCTGGATGGCCTCGCGAATTTTTACGCTTCTTTCAACCCCGGCCAGCAATTAACAATCAAAAAACTGGGTGCACCACACGTGTCCTCGGCCCGCCTAGCGCCAATCCGTAATTTGTGAGGGGGCGCAAAAAATTGGTTTCACACCCCTAGGCCTGGCCCTGGGCAACGCTGCAGGATTTTATTGCAGTTCTCGAGGATTTTTGGCAATTTCCTCAAATGATCTCTGCTAGCATGCCTTTCGCTTCAAATGATCTCTGCTAGCATGCCTTTCGCTTCAAATGATCTCTGCTAGCCTGCCTTTCGCTTCAAATGATCTCTGCTAGCCTGCCTTTCGCTCCAAATGATCTCTGCTAGCCTGCCTCACCTACCGTACTCCTCAAGGACACTGGTCCGACGTGTTCTGCTGAATATTCAATGTTGACACGTCTACCACCCCATCCGCCTGATTATGGATGTCGTCTTTCATCGTTCAACCCCCCGGGTTATTTTTGGTGATTTCCCGCATAATAACCCGCATTCCCCCGCTGGCACCGCCCCTTTTAAGCCCTCAATTTCCACAAACTCCTCTGCTAGCTTGCCCCGGCTCTCGCAAACCCCTTTTTACCCGATTTCTGCAGGAAGGTCACCCGACTTTTCCGGCCCTAATCCCCCTCATTTTTTGACGCAACCCTTCTTGCGGTCCCGATCCCAGGGTTTTCATTGCGTAATCGGATTCAGAATTTGCGGGATGCTTACGAAAATCGTCAGGTGCGCCCGTTGGGATAACTAGCAATTATGCGGACCTATCGAAAGGTGCAATTTCGTAACCTTTCAAATTCCGTAGGACTACTATTGACGGCCTGTGAAATGATTTTCGATCGCAATCTCGGCTGTCTTCTCCTCCTCCTCAACAATCTCTGCTAGCATGCCCTCTCCTCTTCCTCAACAATCTCTGCTAGCCTGCCCTCTCCTCTTCCTCAACAATCTCTGCTAGCCTGCCCTCTCCTCTTCCTCAACAATCTCTGCTAGCCTGCCCTCTCCTCTTCCTCAACAATCTCTGCTAGCCTGCCCTCTCCTCTTCCTCAACAATCTCTGCTAGCCTGCCCTCTCCTCTTCCTCAACAATCTCTGCTAGCCTGCCCTCTCCTCTTCCTCAACAATCTCTGCTAATCCTCCCGGATGTAAAGACTTGGCGACGTGCCAATTCTCGTGATGTGTGGGTGGGGCAGGTATACGGAATTGAATGGCATCTATTGTTTACGCATTAATGGCCGGACCCGCCCGGGTCGGATTAAAGAAGCCGGACACAATCGTGTGGGTATGAGCTGAATACTTGTTTTCGTAGATTCCGCCCCAAAATACTGGCCCCGCCCCCTAGCCTAACCTACCAAATAATCCGCATTTTTTAAAGAAAAAAATGTTTGAAAGCCAAGTTGTCCCATTAAAAAAATCACGTAAAGCTTGTGTTTTTTTAATTTTATCGATTAAAGTAATGGCACAGTTCTGAATTTCGCGATTCTGATCAAAGTCAAACATAAATATAGTAAATATAAATCAAAACTAACATCCACATTTGTAAAATATAAAATTGACAAAATTTACTGATTTTAATTATCGCCTTTTGAATTAATTGCAATTTGATTTTTCATCATTCTTTGTAGTAATTTATTTCCATTTGATTCTTTTACTTGTTTATTTTTTTGTTTATTTAATTTTTTAAACAATGTTGTATTTTGTGAAAAAGTTATAAAATCGCAGTGCATCCTAGATAAAGCCAAAATTAAATCCGCACTAATCGATTCGTATAGTAACCAAATACTAATTACTTCTTGTATTTTAAAATTATTGACTTTTAATGATTAGTAAATACCTTTAATTCTTTAAATTTGATTCTAACCATCTTTATAAAAACATCACCGCTACCCGGTGCGCCCCCGCGCAGAAATTTTTTTTGTTGAACCGAGGAATCCTGTAATTTCCCGGGCCACGCCCCCTTCAGGATATAATTATTTTTTTGGGAGTATTTTGTCATTTTGCCAGTGATTTTTTCAAGTAGTGTCAAGTTTAATTCTTTTTAAATAAACCTTTTTTAATTTCCATCGCTCAAAAAATATTTCTGTTTTGCTGTTTTATTGCCACAAATTTAACTCCGATTCTTGCAGGGTACCCCGCTAAGATGCAGCGATACGGACTGCTCTTGCTCCTTGCCGCCGCCACCGCCACGGCAATGGCTAATAAAATTGGTATGTTTGGGCTTGGGCTTGGGCTTAGGCTTAGCTTAGGCTGAGAGTTAGGCTTAGGCTTGGGATAAGACTTAGGCTCAGGCTTAGGCTTGGGCTTGGACTTAAGCTTAAGCTCTCTTGCCCATCTAACATACCGTAACCCAAGGTTTTTCAGTAGAAATCGACTGCGAGGTGCTTTCGGTGTGCGGCCAGGACTTGCATTGTGTGGAACAGCTGGCTGAACGGCTACAACTTGACGACTGTCTGGGTAAGCTAGCAGAGATTGTTGAGGAAGAGGAGAGGGCAGGCTAGCAGAGATTGTTGAGGAAGAGGAGAGGGCAGGCTAGCAGAGATTGTTGAGGAAGAGGAGAGGGGCAGGCTAGCAGAGATTGTTGAGGAAGAGGAGAGGGCAGGCTAGCAGAGATTGTTGAGGAAGAGGAGAGGGCAGGCTAGCAGAGATTGTTGAGGAAGAGGAGAGGGCAGGCTAGCAGAGATTGTTGAGGAAGAGGAGAGGGCAGGCTAGCAGAGATTGTTGAGGAAGAGCAGCGTTTTTTTCAAAAATTTTGGACAAATTTTTTTTCAGTGGCCGCCGACAAGCGTGCCATCTACAGCTTCAAACGCGGGCAGACGCGCAGCCTCATCCGGATACTCAAGCAGATGCCGCGATTATGAAACCCCGGCAATTCCCCTAAAATTCGATACTATTGATGTTTTGAAACTTTCATAATTTCCCAAAATAAGGTGCCAAATCCCGCAAAAAAATCTGATATATTCTGAACTCCCCGAACTCGACGATGTGATCTCCTCCCTACCAAAGCTCCCCCAAGAAGCCACCACCAAATGTACAGTTTTCCAGCCCCGCGCCGTCTGTTTGTGAATAAAGTCTAGTTTTTACTTGGGATAGATCGAACATCCGATTTTACAACTCCAAAAATGTGACAATTTTATCTTCTTATTTAAAGAAACACTGCCGGAAACCGGATTCTCTAATGAGCAGATTCTAGTACAGTTGTCGTACTTTTTCTGGTGGTTGTTTTAGAATTGATTTTCTCATAAGAAAATTACCTATAAACATGCATTGATGTTTCAGGAGGCACCCTCCGATTGTTTCTTTGCCTTCACGCCCACACCCAGCCATTCAATAGCAATAATTTTTGCCGGAATTACAGGCAATTTCACGCCCTTGATGGAGCCGCTGATAAGCGTATTCCGGCCGCAAAGCCCCTGAAAATTAAATTATAAAAATTAGAGCATTACAAAAATGCTTTGACTCTGCTCCTCAACAATCTCTGCTGGCCTGCCCTCTCCTCTTCCTCAACAATCTCTGCTAGCCTGCCCTCTCCTCTTCCTCAACAATCTCTGCTAGCCTGCCCTCTCCTCTTCCTCAACAATCTCTGCTAGCCTGCCCTCTCCTCTTCCTCAACAATCTCTGCTAGCCTGCCCTCTCCTCTTCCTCAACAATCTCTGCAAGCCTGCCCTCTCCTCTTCCTCAACAATCTCTGCTAGCCTGCCCTCTCCTCTTCCTCAACAATCTCTGCTAGCCTGCCCTCTCCTCTTCCTCAACAATCTCTGCTAGCCTGCCCTCTCCTCTTCCCTCAACAATCTCTGCTAGCCTGCCCTCTCCTCTTCCTCAACAATCTCTGCTAGCCTGCCCTCTCCTCTTCCTCAACAATCTCTGCTAGCCTGCCCTCTCCTCTTCCTCAACAATCTCTGCTAGCCTGCCCTCTCCTCTTCCTCAACAATCTCTGCTAGCCTGCCCTCTCCTCTTCCTCAACAATCTCTGGTAGCCGGCCCTCTCCTCTTCCTCAACAATCTCTGCTAACCTGCTAAAATTCAGGAGATGCGCTCGCTAATTGCCATACTAATCTGCCTACCCATCTTGTTGGCCATCAGCTGCTACTCGGATGAGAAGCACACAGAAGGACGGGCCCATAATGACGTCGTAGGTGGTTTTGATAAATTGCTGGTAGCGATCATCTTCAAAACTCTCTGCTAGCCTGCCTTGTCGATTACGCCATACATTTGCCCTTTAATTACAGTACGCCGAGGTGGCCTGTGATGCCGGCTGCGGCTTCTGCATGAAATGGGAGGGCAGGGTAAGTTAAAAGGTATATCGAAAGACTAGACGCTAAAAACATCCTGAATAGATAAAATTTACGATTTCCAGGTCGGGACGCTAAATGGAACTTTTTGGGAGTGCGGATGCGGGCTGAAAAATAGGCATGACGCGCGGGTTCAAGACTGCAAGGTAGTTGCTCTCTCTCTTTCCCTCGATGTCTCTCTCTCTCTCTCTCTCTCTCTTTCCCTAGCTGTCTCTCACTCTCTCTCGCTCTTTCTTGGCTCCAGAAAGAACTCCTTAAATACCAAAAAACGCGAATTTTTAGACAATCGGCAAAGTCTCGCAAACACTGGCAGAAGCCGGAAACGCCAACGCAAAAATCTACCTGTGGTGCTGTCGGGAGGATTACTGTAATGCGGGAACGAATTCTAACGTTGCTGTGGGGTTGATGTTTGTAATTTTTGTGTATATTTTTGGCAAATAAATGGTGGGTACGATGTCTATCACACACTCTCCCTCTCTCTATCTCTCTCTCTCTCTCTCTCTCTCTCTCTCTCTCTCTCTCGCTCGCTCTTTCTCATTTTCTGTCACTCTTCGTCGTTCTCTTTCTCTCTCTCACCATTTCCTGTCGCTCTCTCTCACTTTCGCTCACTCATTCCCTCTCTCTCCCTCTCTCACTCTCCTCTCTCTCTCGCACTCACTCACCCGCTACCATTTCCTGTCGCTCTCTCTCGCTCTCTCCCCTCGCTTGCCTCCTCTCTCGCTCACTGATTCCTTCTCTCCCTCTCTCCCGCTCTCCCTCACTCTCTCACGCTCCTCTCTTTTCCGCTCTCTCTCACTCATTCCCTCTCTGTCCCTCTCTCTCCCTTTCTCTCGCTCTCTCCATTGCTCTCTCACTTCTCTCTCATCTCTCTCGCTCTCTCTCTCTCTCTCTCTCTCTCTTCCAACCGTATTTTGCTCCAACACGTATCGTTCCTCAACCATCCGCCAAAAACACCCCCAATCCTTAGTCAGCCCGAGCCCAAGATCGGCTTTTCGTGCACTGCTTCATACCGTAAATGATAAGCCGCCCCTTTATGGGCGATTACTCAGCCCAGGTTTGGCACGATAAACCACCCTATACGGGTCCCGACACGCTTGCACGCGAGAAAACGAGCATGCTAGCACAACCCTTGTGGAAGACGATTGTCAGTTTCTTTGCAACATTTCGGCTTTTTTAAAGGGACTGGGAAGGCTTGTCTGCAGATTCTGCTCGCTATGGATCAGAGACTGAGATTGAGCTCGAGTTAGATTGAGGCTAGCAGAGGATGAGGTCGAGCTCGAGCTTGAAGGATGCTAGCAGAGATTGAGATTGAGCGCGAGTTAGATTGAAGCTAGCAGGGATTGAGCTTGAGCTCGAGATAGATTGAACTAGGATTGATTGAGCACGAGCTCGAGCTCGAGTGATGCTCGCAAAGATTGATATTGAGCTCGAGCTATAGCCAGCTAGCAGGGATCGATATTGCGTTTGGGCCACATTGAGGATAGCAGAATTAGAGATCGAGCTCGCGCTAAATTGAAGCTACCAGAGATTAAGCTTGAGCTCGAGCTAGTGGGATGCTAGCAGAGATTCTTGAAGCACACGTTCCTTTAATGTTATTTTCTTGAAAGAACACTAACCGCCAGTCCATACGATAACCACCTAAAACGCACCGCCGCCCCCAAATTTTCACCGGAAATGGGAGGAGAAAGCGACGGGTAGTCATCATTTCCAGAAGATAAGCCACCGCCCATCAAGATGCGGGCGCCGCTATAAAAAAGTCGCCGATTCTTGACAGTCTTCATTCGTATCCCTCGCTAAAGCTCCGTTTCTACTTTAGTACCCTGACATCTGAATCATTAGCTTCAACACCATTCCGTTTAGCTACTATAGTCGCTACAGTATGCTTCGCCAGCTCGTGCTCCTCGCCTCGCTGACAGCTGTCGCATATTCAGTGTCGTGCTGGCAAGACGCGACGAGTGGAAAAGGACAAAAAACATAGTGGAAATGTATGTTTTGTTTTGTCTCTATCCCCTCTCTCTCACTCCCGCTCACTCTCTCTCTCTCTACCGCTTTGTCTCTCACACACTCTCTCTCGCTCTCTCTCACTTTCTTTCTTTCCCGCTCTGTCTCTCACACACGAGCTCTCTCGCTCTCTCGCTCTCTCGCTCTCTCTCACTTTCTTTCTCTCTCCCGCTCTGTCTCTCAGTTACGCTCTCTCTCTCTCGCTCTCTCGCTCTCTCGCTCTCTCTCTCCCTCTGACTCTCCTTCTCTCTTGGCCTTGTGTATCTTTTTTTTCTAGGAGATATCTTTTCCCTGCCCCCTCACCGACTACTGCTCCAAATGGGTCTACAAGGTATCGGAACCCTAAACAGTCTATGCACAACTTTTTTAGATTAACAGCGAGCAAGCGATCATTTGGTCTTGCGGTACCATGTGCACGGTTTGTTCATTTTCCGAATGCAGATATCCTAAAATTTGCCGTTCAACACAAAATTATTTCAGAAGACGGGCAAAGAGTCGTACAAGGACAAGGCGAACGGCGTCGACGCGTCCGGCACCGTCTACTGCTGCAAGGGCAACCAGTGCAACGCCACCGCCGGCCTCACTAGGGAGGTATCTGAACTCGGCATCGAACTTTATGAAGTCGGATACACCATTCGACGCGCCTTGTCGAGGGCAGTCCAAATATGCAATAAAATCAACCAGAGCCTATAACGATAAAAAGTTATGAGGGTTTAAAGTAAAAAATAGGTGAAAAACAGCATGTTTGAGACCCTGTATCATCCCGCGGAATGGAATTTAGCCTAAACTGATTAGTGCTCCTTATTCAACAAAGAAAGCTCTTTCAAATGAGCTATATTACATACGGCTGCCAAAAATTTCCGCAAAAAATATTTTTGGAATGCAGTGTAAGGGTAGGGTATGGCCAGCTTGCCGAAGACGTTTCGAGAATTTCGCGTAAAGCCTATGTAAGATAGCCCATTCGAAAGAGAATTTTCTGCTGATCAAGATGTGCCATTCTATTTTCGACAAATTACATTCTTCGAATTCGTACAGAGTCTTAAAAGGGCGGTTTTTGATGATTTTGCCAACTTTGATATAGAGAGCGTCCAATCCTGGTCTTGTTGCCCGAGGTTATTTTATCATCGCTGGTGCCTTTTAGGGGTCACACAGTCAAGAAAAACTTATTCCCGAGTTTGGAAATGCAAAAAGTAGGAACTGGTCAAAAAGCAAAAAATAAAAATCGTGAGTGGATCCGAACCCTGGTCGTACAGACCGGAGACCCATGCGCACACCACTAGGCCACCGGGCCGATGAACAGGGTGCGCTGGGAGGGGCTCATATCGCCGCGGTGGCCTTTGGCTGCAAAACTTAAAATGCTCATAACTTTTTATCGTTATAGGCTCTGGTTGATTTTATTACATATTTGGAATCCCCTCGACAAGGCGCGTCGAATGGTGTATCTGACTTTTCAAATTTCGATGCCGAGTTCAGATACCTCCCTAGTCAGCACATTAATGGCGCTCGCCATGACGATTGTGATGGCCGTGTTTTGTAAATAAATGTAGTTTTCTACTGGTTTCCAAAAAACCAATCTTAAAAGCAATGGTGGGCTAGCAGAGATCCTTTGCCCGTCCTCTCCTCTTCCTCAGCAATCTCTGCTATCCTGCCCTCTCCTCTTCCTCAACAATCTCTGCTAGCCTGCCCTCTCCTCTTCCTCAACAATCTCTGCTAGCCTGCCCTCTCCTCTTCCTCAACAATCTCTGCTAGCCTGCTATTCTGCTAGTCAACGTTTGTCTTGAATTTATTTCTGCACTAACTGGTGTTTAAAGTTTTAATCCCGAAATTTGCATATTCACAAGTACCCGCAAAATCAAAAAAAAGTCGGCCATTCGCTCAGACAGCGCCCCAAACCTCGCCCCCACGCCGCCCGATAATGTCCCGCCAGCTGCTCGTTCTGTGCGCCCTGCTCGTCGTCGTCGTCACCCTCAAGTGCTACACCGACGAGAGGCAGGTGGGGCGCTTCACGAGATCATATTTCCTACTCCTAAATATTTTCTATTATTACTATTCATCCTCTTTTCAGACTCAAGCGGAATGCCCCGCCGGCTCGAAATGCCTGATGATGCGCACCGCCACGGTACACCTTTAAAAATCGCATTAAACCGTATCCTAATTTTAGCCGCTTCGCGGGGTCGTGCGCGGCTGCCAGCCCGAGTGCAAGGTGGGCTTTTCCTAAATCGTCTCGATCAAAACCATACCAGGAAGTCGCCGGCGGATCGTTGACGTTCGCGGAGCGCAACTACGCGGGTGACGCGTACTGCTGCGATTCGGATCTGTGCAACGGTTCGCCCGGCCATTCACCACTCATCATCACCATCCTCGCCATCGCCATCATCGCCCTGATCTATTAATGTGACGTCGCCTCGACCCCCGGTCTCCCGATCACACCGACGTCACCTTTTGTCCTCTATTCTTTTTTTTGTTTTCGCCGGCCTGTGATTTGTATGCAATAAAGATCGCTTTGTGGACAGCGAATTTATTTTTGCGAATCTTTGGCATTATCGGGGGAAATTCTTGGTATAAGTTTAGAAATGCCGAACAACATAATAGAAAGTATTTTAATAATGATTTTAATAAAACAAACCTATATTTCAGCTAGAAGACTATCCTGGAACTTTAAAAACTTTGGAAAAACCGACATTTTGCTCTAAACGCCGATTTCTGGTCGAAAACGCTATCTTTTTGATTTTGAATACAAAGTTGTAAAGTTTCCGCGTTCAGGGATCGTTAAAAAATAGCCTTAGAAACACTGCCTCTATTTAGATTTCCAAAAATCGGATCCTAAGAAAAATTCTAGCTTTTTTAAAATACAGTCAACATTTTTTGTAAGTTTTTATGAGTTTTGAGATCTAAAAACGTGTAAAATGCTTAAAAATTGTCTATATTTTGTTATATGATCGAATCGAAAGGCGAAAAATTAGTTTTTCCTTTGCCAACCCCCCCCCCGCTGATAGTCCAGTACCCAAGGGTGCGTATAAAACAACGGAAGCCTTTTAATATGTCAAAAATCTTAAAGGGATGCAGACGGCATAGTCAATCGGTTACGCGCTGGAAAGAAAATGCCTCTGCGCCTCTCCTGGGCGCGCTCCCCTGTTGGCTACTTGCCAATTTGTTGATGGGGGGGGGGGGATCGACACATGCCGTCGGCAGCCCTTTAAGGCCGAATTTCATAATAGCAAAATTTATATAAGCGAGTTTCGAAAAATCCCTAATTCTATGCAAAAATTTTTCGCTATTCTGGATTTCGGCATTATGAATTTCGCTATTCTGCGATTTCGCCATTTCGAAAGCGATCCCCCCGCTAACAGTCCGGTACCCAAAGATGCGGACAAAAACAACCAGTCCCAACAAGAAAATATTATTCCACGGATACTTCAAGCCAAAATGTTCAAATCGACCGCTCCGTCGCCTACCTAAAACAGATGCACAAATACGCGCTACCGACCATCCCCAAAAAACTAGGCCGGCAAATAAAACCCAAAAAATTATACCCGCCAAGGTATCTGGCTGGGCGCTGGGCAAACACAATTGAGCGCGTTGTGGCACATCCGGCCATTCCACGCTGGTCTCCGCCAATCGCCCTCGTTACTAGTGAATCTAAAAGCGGAAATATGCGCTATTTGGTGGCCGCCCTCGTCTTTGTAGCCGGTAATTTATTTATTTTTTGATTTTGGTGCTTTTGCATTATCCGGGGCACCAACTTTTTTCTAGAAGTAAAGGAAAGTACAGAAATGTCTAGTCTGTGTTAAAATAGTGTTTTCAGTAACATTTATTTTATGTTTAGTGGAAAAACAATTAAAAAACCCTTAAACAAGACTGTTTTTTAAGTGGAGTTTAGGTAAAAATCGGCCATTTTTACCCGAAAAATCTATATTTTTATCAAAATGTGTTGTTTTCTGCGTTTATGAATATTAAAAACCGTTTAGAAAAGGATTTTAGAAAAATTTGATCCTTAGGAAAACTTCCTCCCCCGATAATGCGAAAGAACCTGGTCCGGCTGGGTCTGGGTTATTAACGGGGGGTGGGGGGAGAAGCGGAAATCAAAATTAGAAAAATTTTGGGGGTAAAAATAAAGAAATCGCCATTATTCGCATTTTTTAAAAAATTTTTGGCCGCTCAGTAATAAAAAATTTAAAAACATTAAAATACATATTTTAAGATATAAAACGCATCTTCGAAAACAATAAAAAGAACTGTCTGATCTCAATTTTTCAGCAGTAGCCCTCTCCGTGGACGCGGCCTGCACCGAGCAGTACACTGTGGGTTCAAATCCTTTTTTTTGTTCACTTTATTTCGCCAATTCCCAAGCCACGCCAACGCAATGTTCCATCGTAGTGTGTACAACAAAATAGGTCCAAAAACAAAACAAATTCAATGTCGAGATTAGAGAACGAGCTTAAACGGACAACAAAACACTGGCTATTACACTATGACTACCGATCATGATGGACGATTCTCATTGTCTCATTCGATTTCCCGCAACCTCCCCTTGCACTTCTCCGGCGTGAACGGCAGACTGAACGCGGCCGGTTCGGTGGCCCAGGCCTCAACCTAAACGAAAAAAATACTACGCTTTTACGCGGGGAAATTCGTACCCTGAATGGTAGCTCCTTGCCGTAAAAGTCGAGGATCTTGGCCGGGTCCACCTCGTCGTACAGTGATTTGCCTTTCCTGGCTGGGGTAACCTAAACAAACGGATTTATTAAAAAAATTTACATACCTATTTTTATAAAATGTACAAAATTTTTGAACATTCGGAAAGTTGGACGTCTTATGACCATTTTTTAAGCTTGTTTTTACCAAAAAAAATCGGTTCTTTAGCATTATCGGGGGGGGGGATTTTTTTGTTAGGATAATAGGATCGAGAAGTGTTTTTCAACGATTTTTAAAGTCTTTCGATAGTTTTCTAGTGAAAATACTTCTATATCACTAAAAAAACTAACAAAACTCTTCCCAGGAGAGTTACTAGATTTTCCAGGCGTATACAAAAAAGTTCGGTGCTCCCCACTCTTCAAGAAAATTGCAAACTTTTCAAAAAAAGTGCAGTTCGGTCAAAAATCGGCTATTTTTGTGGTGCTTCAGAAAAAAAACGTTTCAGAAAAGTATGAAAAATTATGGAAATTCCCCTTCCAATGTTTCAGCAAGAATTAGAAAAGTTGAGCTTGGTTTTGCGTGAAAATCCGAAGCAATAACTAATCGAAGGATGACACACCTGCTTGACAATCGGCGACATATGGGCCAACTCCGGGTCTACAGATAGATGAAGGGCCATCCGCGAGTGCTCGGCGGGCCATTCCTTGCCGCGGGCCGCGCTTATCCGCTTCATGAGGTGAACCTAAAGAAGCAGGTCCCTGCAACAAAAACCCTGCCCAAACCTGGAGAGGCGGAAGCGGAAATGAATCCGGCAGATCCACTTCGGGCATTTGGCGATGGTCGCAGTTCGTGAATGCCTGTTCTTCATGCCGATGAATGAGCTTCCAGTCGGCCCGGTTCAAGTCTTGCCCAAACTCGTAGATGCCCAGATTTCGACCACGGAACGTCCACTCGGCCCACATCTTGCCGCCGAACAGCCATCGGTCCATCGTGGGGGCCACCTAAAAAAACGTTAGAAATACCCTGTCGATCAAACCCACCCGCGCGATTTTTAAAAACGAAGGCTGATCCGGCCATTTCCGGCCCCACTCCGATTTTGTGACGACGCGGCCGACGCCGAATTTCCTATACGGGGAATTAGATAGCAAAAAAAAGACAAAGCGGACCTCAATTGCGCAAGAATCTCCCAGAGATATTTGCCCTCGGCGTTGACGTCGGGGTGGCCGATGAAACGGATCATCTTGGCCGCCATGGCGTACCTAAAATCTTCATCTTATGTCGATAGCAACAGGCAAAAAAGGGAAAGTCAACTAAAATTAGCAAAATTCTTTCCGGCAGGCGACCTTTTTGGCAAAAATATCGCTATCGCTAACCAATTTTCCGAATTAATAGAACAAGTTTCGATAAAAACAGCAACGAACTGCTTTAAGAAGTCGTATACAACAAAAGCAAAAAAAAACCTTTATCTTCCAAACAATATGTCACACGTAAACGAACAAATCAAAGACGAATCAACAACGAGTTCTATCCTAAGCAACGATTAATAGTTATTCTAATGCTCCGGCGGCGCGTCAGGACCCGTGTATGAAGTGGTGGATCTGAAATGACAGCTACGGTGATGGCAGAGACCACGCCCCCTTCCCCGAGACGGCCAATCGAAAACGCGTTTCTTTCGCATTATTAGGGGGACCAAATTTTTTTCTAAAGTCCAGCAATGCCTAGTAACGTAAAATCAGTGTTCTAATAGTGTTTTTAGTAAAATTTAGCTATATTTTAATTGAAAAAAAACAAGCAAAAAATTTTAGTTGGAATTTGGCTGCTAAGATCAATATTTTGTGTATGCCTTAACCAAAATTATAATTGTTTTTACCAGTGTTTTTAGTAAACTTTAACTATATTTTAAGTGGCAAAACGATTAAAGACTTAGAAAGAAATTTTGTGTTGAAATGGTCGGAAAGCAGACATTTTTGGTGGAAAAATTTTTTTTACTTTAATTGAAAAAATTTAGGTTTTCTGGGTTTATGAATCGCAAAAAAAAACTTTAGAAACATTTCTTCTATTTATATTAGAAAAAATGGATCCCTAGAAAAATGGTTTCCCCCGATAATGCGAAAGGCCCTAAGACGAATTGTTACTTGTTCATAAGTCATCAACGTGACGACGGTGGCCGGCAACGTTCTCACGTTCGCAATCAGCAGGCCCTTGTAGAAGGCGCGGGGTCCCTCTTCGACCAGGGCATGTCGGATCGTTTGTACAGCGCTCCGGGCCACGATATTGTGATCTTGCATTCGAGTTCGGACCACCTACACAAAATTAAAGCCATAATTCACGCTGTCACCTGATATGGATAAGTGGCCGTGACGGCGGCCATCTTCGAGATCGAAGAGAACGCGAGATAGTCGAACAGCGACAATTTTGAGCCCTGAATTGAAAGATGCAAAAGCTGAACATAATGATTTTTGTATAAGTCGAGAAATTCCTAGTAATTTGATAGGACGTTTTGAACAGTGTTTTAGTAAAATAAACTATATTACAACTAGACAAAAAAATAGTACTATTTCAAAAAAATTCTCAAAAAGGCGACCTGTTGTTCAACAAATCGATATTTTGGGGGGGTTAGCACCAATCCCGGCGTTTATGTTTGGAAAATTAAATCATAAGAAAAATTTTTGTCTCCCTCCCTCTGCTAATGCCAAAGAACCACCTTTTCGATGCCCTTGTCCCGACAACGCCAATCCTTCAAGAAGTCGTAAATCATAAACTGAACCGCGCCGTGTGACGTACCAAAGAGGCCGGGCAGGAATCCTCGATATAGGCCGGCAATGCTAAAAATTTGCCATTCCACAATCGAAAGCCCGCATACCCTTCATTTCTGTACATTTTGTAGATACAATCCATCATCCCGCTGTATTGCTTCGTCGCCTGCTTCTCATACTGTAGGCACAATCTATTAATGGTTTCCTGGATTAGCCAAACTTCCGTACCTCGTCTTAGCCACCCAAATCGGATTCGTAAAGCACATCACAATGGATCCGGCCACGATGCCGCTCGCAAAATTGTTGAGTGGTTCCGGATAAGTTCTAAACACGGGAAATTAGCTTACAATCGCGATAACCTGCACGTGTTCGTGATCGCCGTCTTGACCTTGTTGTAAATTTGCAAGTATAAGCCCCAAGATAGTGCGCCCCCGCATAGATTAGGTGTTAGGCCCTGCGCAGCGGAAAGAGATTAGCTTTAAAGTGTAAAATTACCTGGTACAGCCCGCGAATCCCCTGGGAGCGCACAATTTGGGCGGCCGCGTCGGCGTATCCGTTGTATTGTGGTCGTATCAAGGCATTGCCTTCGTTGGCCGAAAATCTAAAATATTGCATCAATACAACTTTTGGTTCTTTAGGATTCGCGGGGAGAACCAACTTTTTTCGGCGCAAAACAAGATTTTTTATAAATAGCGGCTACGTTTCTGCCTTCTTTTTAACCATTCCTAAGCATAAAAATTTTACAAATTTAACTAAAACGCTAAGTTTAGGACGAAACAATTATTTCTCCCGACTCCAAATGGGCAAATTTTCGGCCTTTTCAAAAGGACAAAATACTTGCTGTTAAAATTGCTACGCCTATCTGGCCTTATAGAATCCCCCATTTTGCAAAAACGCTAAAAAATCCAGTTAGACCTTTACCTAACTTTCAACAAGTCCATCGGATGGCAAACGAGCGTTGACAAAATGCCGCCGGAGAAACCGCCTATCTGAAGCAACAGTGTGAAAGTAGAAACAAAACACTACCGCGTGTTCATAGCCACGTAAAACATCCATTGGATTTGCCGCTTGGCGGGCTTCCATACAGCTAAAAAGCTTCGAATTTTCCCGAATCAACGGCTTTCAGAAATTCACATAGCGCGAAAAGGTCACGAGTGATACCGATCGACATTCGCCATTGCAAAGAAGTTTATTACTATCACAATGGAAAACCATTCACCACCCGGGGCGCAGTAAGGCAAAATAATGGGGGTAAGGCAAGAATCGGTATCACATTTAGTTTCAAAGTTGCGACAAGTGAGGGTAGGCAGCTTATTTCTGGGACACATTCAACACATTGGAGAGTGCGCTACATTACAACAAAATGATGTACAGAAAAAGGGAAATCCAGGCAAATATCACGCACTAGACAAAAAAAAGCTTATCACAAGTAATGATACAAATCTATACAATCTCCGTATTAGGGCTCAATCGTCAATAATTTGCACTTTGACGCGATGCCACGCGTTGTTGATCAGCCCGCGCACGTTCCAGATGCCGGTGGCCGTGTCGGGCTGGGTGTTGTAGGCGCGATCGGTGGCTTTTACGGCCAGCTCCAGGCTGTTCCCGTCTTTGGGCAGCTAGAAATTCACGTAAAATGCCTCAATTCGAAAAACATACCGTGATATTCGTCTTCCACAAGGTCCACGCCCACATCCGGTCGATCGGTTGCTCCTCGGCATGCTCGAGTTCGGCCGGTTTCCACGTTTTGCCGCCATCAGCGGAAACCTGAAAACGAAAGGATCCAAAAATGACTTGGGCAGCGAGTTTTTTGCCTAAATCAAGAGCACCGGAAAACTCACATCCACCCGAATAATTCCGCGACCGCCGCCGCTCCACGCGTATCCGGCCACCGAGATCTCCTCCTCGGAGCGCTTCACCTTGGCCTTGGCGGCGGGCACGCAAAATGCCGACTGCACGGGGTACTCCTGGATCGAGTACGCCTTGTCCCACTTCAGGTCGTCGCCGATCTGAACGGCCGGCGAGAAGACTCTAAAAATGCACTTTTTTTCAGTTCAAGGCTTTGTGAGCTGTTCAGAAAAATCCAAACCCGCACCTGTAATCCTTTTGCTGCCAATGCGCTGGGCTTTCCACGTCACTGGTGTGGATGGCTTTCAGCCATTTTACCTACATTTAAACAATCAACGCAATCCGCACGAACGTACCTGCCGCGCGCCCACATTCCCGGGAACGATCAGGCGCAGCGGGTACCCGTGGTCGCGGGGTATCTCTTTGCCGTTCATTTCGTAGGCGATGATGACCTAAAGGAGATCGATCTCGAAAAGCCAAGCAGAACTAACCTCGGAAGACATGGCTTTTTGGAAGGGGATCGAGGCGCCGTACGGCTTGCCGTCCGGGTCCACGTCGGCGCCCTAAACCCCGTGAATAGATTCGGCAGCTGAAGAGCACTACCTCAAAGTGGACGTGCTTGATCGAGGGGTCCGAGGGGTCGACCCCAGCCGTCATCAGAACGTCACGTAGGCGTACGCCCGTCCATTTTGCGCATCCAATCGCGGTGCCGGTCCACATCAGGCCCTGAACGGCCTTCTCCGCGTTCATGTCAGCACGCCGATTTCCTAAAAACAATTTCGTTCAGCCAGCCTGGTTCTTACGCATTATCGGGGGGGGACTTTTTGTACAAGAATAGAACTGCCTAGTCACTTAATATCCATTGCTTCATAGTGTCTATTAAGATATAACCGTTTTTCAACTAGACAAATCAGCTAAAAACTACCACAAATTGAAAACTTCAAAAGAAAAAGAAGAAGAAATCAAAAGTCAAAAAATCGACCGTACTTGGTCGAAATTTTTTTTTCCGTTTAGAACCACGTTCACTATTTATTAGGTCCAGAGAAAAAGATCCCCCCCCCCGATATTGCGAAAATCCGGCAGTCTTCCCCAAAAATTCACCAGCACACTGCACCACCGATTTCACCGACACCGGCTCGTACTTTTGCTTCAGATCCTCGACGCTCAGCGTGAATTTGCCCTTGACCTTTAGGCCGGAGATCTACAAGTAGTATTTCCAAAGTGGAAATTGAGATGTACCTCGACTCGGTGCTGCTTTTCATCAGTCTCCGGCACGGGCAGGTGATTCCGGACGAAGAATAGCTCATTTGGCGTGAGGAAGGCGTCCATGAGCAGAGCAGGCGGGGACTCGGCATTGAAGGGTTTCTGAATTCTCGTATTGCTTAAATTTCCCGAAGCTTACGTTCGAGTTGACGAGTAGTGCTGGGTGGCGCGCCGGGTCCTTGGCAAACGGGTCGTTCGCGTCGGCTTTTGGAGCCTGAAAAATAGCCGTTAGTTACCGGAGCATTTTTGGACCTACATTTTTCAAATCCTCCTCGTCGACGTTCCCGATGCGCATCGGCTCCAAAATCTCCGCAACCTCCTTCGTTTTGTGCTGCGCGTAGATGGCCCAGAAGGGTTCTACTGATCCACCGGCGGCCAAGAGTATCTGAATTTGTGCGTCAAGTGCCGAAGACCCGATGTACCTTATCCCCTCCCGGGTGGTTTTCCACAAATTCAGTAACGTCGTAGACACCATTCTTGTACATGATCCATATTCTCGGCGCCTCCTTACCGTGCTTTTTCACCTAAACCTAGAGAATAGCATGACTAAACGCAGGCTGTCGAATACCTCGTCAATTTTGAAAACGGGCAGATCTTTCCGCAGCGGGGGCGCAAAATCATAATCTGCTGCCCGGGCCATCGGGTTCATTTGCTGGGGTCGTGTTTGGTCGAAGATGTAGCCGCCGAGCAGCAGCGCCGACGCGCCGCCCACCGCAGCCAGCCAATAGCCGGGCTTTTGGCGTTCTAAAACAGAATGTCTCGCTCGTAAAATTTGCTACCTGTATGTAGCTCTCTTCTGAGCGCCAGCCTCATCCTCCCCATCGCCAGCCTCCCGGGAAATCGGGGCATCATCTTGGGCGCCCTAAATCTTTATTTTCATCAAGAAAAAAACGTCAACAAAACGGTGATCTGAACTAATGTGCTAGAGGATATCAAATAAGAGCGCGAAAATACATGAGAAGAGCCGAAAATTCAAAAACGATAAGGATCGAAGGATGAAGGCGCGATCAAATTCACATATGGATCAATCTGAACGAGTGGGCATTGGGTCCCTGCATTATCGGGGGAGGGGGGATTTTCTCAAGATCCAATATGCGGAAGTATTTCAAAACTGTTTTTTTGCCATTCCTAAAAGTAAAAATCTATAACTTTTTTTAAATGCAAAAAAAATATATTTTTCGACAAAAAATGTAGATTTTTTGAAGTTTTTAGATAGGTTTTCTAGTTGAAATATAGTTTTATCCTCTTCAAAACATTATTTTAATGCCTCCAAACCCCCCGCCCCTCGATAATGTTAAAGAACCAGAACAGGGATCTAGATTCTTCGGATTTTCCGCGGGCGCGGGCCCAGTTCCTTGATCGGCGTGTAGTCGGTGATGGAAACGACGTTGACTCCCGCCACTGTCAATCCTTTTACGGCTGTCATCCGCCCAGGTCCGATCCCCTTCACTTGCACGCGGACGTTCCGGATACCGCGTCTCACAAGTCGTTGACCGGCCGCCACTCCCGTCGTCTGGCCCGCAATCGACGTCTTCTTGCGGGCATTTTTGAAGCCTTCAAGTCGGCAAGACGTATACATCAGCACATCTCTGGATTTGGCATCGATCGCTTGCACCAGTGTGTTATTTTTGGTGGCCTTGACATAGACGGTGGGCAGATCGGCGTAGGGGATCCCGTTGAATTCCTGAAATGGATAAATTAATACGTTCTTTCGCATTATCGGGGACCAACTTTTTTCTAAGCTTCCAATTTTCGGAATATAAATACAAGGAATTTCTAAACAGTTACAAATAAACGTAAAAACTTTACAAATTTAACTATAAATACAAAAAAATAACGATATTTCGACAAAATTTTACCTATTTTTTTTTGTTTTCACTTAGAATATCGTTAAGGGTGATTAAAAACATTATTAAAATAATTACTATCAGGTTACTGGAGATTTTTGGAATCATCGAAAAAAAATTGGTTTTCCCACCTGCTTTAGCGTCTCTGGAGTCGGCAGTCGTTGCGAGAAATCGCGTATGCTGACGGGGACGGCAGCGTTAGAGCCGGTAGTGCCCTCAAAAACTTCCTTCTGTTCGGGGGAGAGCTTCGTGCCAGCTCGCTGCTCGTCGCGGATACTTCTGGCCAAAACGGAGGTCGTCGACACGCTTCTAAGGGCGACGGCTGGCAGAGCAGCGGAGCAGCTGGGCATCGCCAGTCGACGAAATGCCGACAGCGTAGATTTGAGCAACGTCGTCGTCATCGGGCGGGCTGCTGAAACAGAACTAGAGGTGGAAAATGCCCAACAACAAAGAAACAAGGTGCAATACAGAGCATAGAATGACACGTTAATGTTTTAGCATGAAAAATCACTGGCTCAAGGCGCCGTTGCTTCTCTAGAGTTCACAAAATATGGTTAATAACTATCTATATTTTTATTTATGACTATTTTGGAGTAAATTTTATTTAGGCAGTTTCCAAACAAGATTAACGCGCACGTGAAACGAGATTTTGATATGATAAATATGGGTCGGCGTGAGCGCACAAAGTCCGAGCGTCATTAGTAGCGTACGGAATCGCGCTCGGGCACAGATTGTAAAGAGGCAACATAGGAATGTTAAAGTAAATAATAACTAAAAGCTTAAAAAATAGCACAAAAATAATGCAATCATTTAGGATTGGACGGAGTCTGTGGTGTGCAATGCGACGTGCGGCCGCTGCGGGGTCCAGACGCTGACCCGAACCTGTATGACTGGATGTACTTGCAAGTGCGTTCAAAAATAAGAAATTAAAATGAAGTAAAGATACGTAAAAATAGCTAGGAAATAAAGGTTTTACTCCATTATCGGGGGCGGTGGGGTTTCCAAGACAAAAAGCTGAAGCGTTTTTAAAATGTGTTCTGATTATCTTTAAACGTAAAAAAAAATTACAAATTATGGAAAATGGAAATAATGAAAAAGTACCCCCAATAATGAAAAAGAACCTAAAACACCAGAACGTACAACGACAATCTTTTAGGGGAAAGCTGACCAAGACGGCCAGCTGCCCGTTGAACCCCTGCACCTTCCCGGACGCGCCGTGCTGCGGCACCTTCCAGAAAACGGCCGACGTCGAGACGCGCCGGTTACTTTTTGAATACGGTCCGGAAATGGCTAAAAAATACGGTCCAGCTTGTTTGACACTATTTTTCAGATATTCCTGCTACGATCCGACGCAACGAACGAACGCGAAGAAGGCACGCGACAACTACATGAAGTCGCGCAAGAGCCGCAAGACGACCCGCCATCAGGAGAACTGAAGCCTTCGGGCTCCCCCGGTGTGAAATGCCAACGATAAAGCACTTGTTAATACACATAACTCTTGTTTCTCATAAATACAAGCAAAAAAAATTGCACAGTTTTATTAAACAAAATACAAAACATATCGATTTTTCGAACAAAAATCCCCGTTTTTACCAAAACATTAGCTTTTTCGAAATCTTTTGGATAGTTTTCCCTTTGTAAAATAGTGAGATTTTCTAAAAACGTTGTCAGAATACTTTCTGGCATGCCAAGAGGCATTTCACGTCGTTCTAGCGTTGATTTCTCGGGTCTGGCTAGCTAGCAAAGATTTGTGGGGAATTTTTCATATAGATCATGGCTTTTTAGCGATTATTAAAAAGTATCACAATTATAACGATAGAAAAATTTCCCCAATCAATCTCGTACGGTGCCGGCGTCGCCTGTTCAAATACGCAGCCAGACTGGTGCGTCCTACCCTCCAATGTTTCAACATTCCACGCCGGCCGGAATCGAAATGTGGTGCTTGCTGTCGTTTTATTTTTGTGAGTTTTAATCAATTATTTTTAGTTTTAGAGCTGCCATTAAACCTAAGCCGAAGCCTAAGCCTAAGCCTAAGCCTAAGCCTAAGCCTAAGCCTAAGCCTAAGCCTAAGCCTAAGCCTAAGCCTAAGCCTAAGCCTATGCCTAAGCCTAACCCTATGCCTAAGCCTAAGCCTAAACCTAACCCTATGCCTAAGCCTAAGCCTAACCCTATGCCTAAGCCTAAGCCTAAGCCTAAGCCTAAGCCTAAGCCTAACCCTAACCCTAAGCCTAAGCCTAACCCTAACCCTAAGCCTAAGCCTAAGCCTATGCCTAAGCCTAAGCCTAAGCCTAAGCCTAAGCCTAACCCTAACCCTAAGCCTAAGCCTAAGCCTAAGCCCAAGCATAGGCCGAATCCTAAGTCTAAGCCAAGCGAAGCCTAAACCTTACCTAAGCCAAGCCTCAGCCTATGCCTTAGCCGAAGCCTAAAACTATGCCGAAGCCTAAGCCTAAGCCTAAGCCTTTTTTACAGTTATTCGCCTCTCGCTGTCTGACGAGATCCCTTGCCAAGAGCAGTATACGGTGGGATTTGAAGAAAAAGCTCTGAAGCCAGAGCCTGTGTAGGACTGGATCGTCATCGAGCCGTGCACCGCGGAATGTGGGCGTTGCGGGCTGGAGCTGTCCGTCAGGAGTTGTTTCGAGGAATGCGAGTGCAAGTGAGCTTTTTATTTTCCTAAGGGATCTCTGCTAGCCCGCCCTGATCCCTATTTAGCGGACCGTTCTACCGTAACATCACATGTCCCAAGCGGCACTGTCTACACCCAAAGCCGGCATGTTGCGAGGGTTTCGTCCGTGTGGTGAATCCGGCCACGAAGAGGTTAGTGAGGCTTAGGCTTGGCTTAGGGCTGGCTGGCTTTGGATTCGTTTAGCGTCACGCTTAGGCTTATTTTTAGGCTTAGGCTTAGGTTTAGGTTTAGGTTTAGGCTTGGCTTAGGGGCTGGCTTCGGACTCGTTTAGCGCTACGCTTAGGGTTATGCTTAGGTCAGCCTTAGGTTTAGGCTTATGCTTAGGCTTAGGCTTAGGCGTGGGCTTAGGTTTAGGTTTAGGCTTATGCTTCGGGTTAGGCTTAGGCCAGGCTTAGGCTTCGGCTTAGGATTAGGCTTAGGCTTCGGCATAGGCTCAGGCTCTGGCTCAGGCTTAGGCACAGGCTTTTGTTAAAGCTCATTTCAATAGGATCACTTCGGTTTGAATAGAATTTATTCAAATACGAAAATTACACAGGTACGAATGCGCAAGCCCGGCGGAAAAGCAGCAGCTCGTCGACGACAAGAAAAAGAACCGGGCCGAGGATTTGTAGATGTTTTTCTACAGCATAAAGGTATTTATAGGAACGAATACAGTATATAAACAGTTTTACAACACCGAGATCACATTTCTGAAAGCCAGAGGCAGCAATGGGCAAATAATCCCCCCGCAAAAATCGGTTGTTTTTGGGAGGCGTAGCTACTGCTTGAAGAATTCTGAAACATATTGATGTAAAAGCAGTTTTTTTCGTAAAAATTGACCTGTCCCAAACGGCAAGTCGTCGTGCAGCATCGAGATCGAAGGGATCACCGGAAGTTTCACTAAAACCATTAGGCCTTTAGAAGGTGTTTCTGAGCGCTCTACCTCCTCCCCTTAACGCGCTGCCGCGCGGGCTCGGCCGTTTGGCGATGATCTAGGAGCATAAGGTCGATTAGAAAACTGTCCTACCACCACCGGTTTCATTTGGCTCTTCAGGAAGGCCTCGGAGCCGTTGAGGATCGTTTTTTGATAGATGGTGAGTTCCTGAAATGAAATAGTTCTGGGGAAAAAGATATCCATCTCTCTCTCGCTCTCTCGCTCTGTCGCTCTCTCTCTCTCTCTCTCGCTCTCTCTCTCGCTATCACTCTCTCGCACTCTCTCGATCTCTCGTTCGCTCTCTCTCGCTCTTTGTCGCGCTCTCGCTCTCCCTATCTCTATATCTCTATATTTCCGTCGCTCTCTCTCTGGCTCTCTCTCTCTCTCTCTCACCTGCTGCAACTCCGGCACATCGACGATCAGGAATTTATCTTCAGCTGTCAGAACCTTCAAGGGTTTTCCAACTTTCCCGGAATCCTCCTCCCACCGGCTCGGAGTTTTCGAATCCGCTGCTTTTCGGTCTACAGTACTCTGCTGGGATACTGTAGCTTTCGACACCACATTTCCCGTATTTTTCTTGAGTTCTGGCAGTTTTTTCGAGTGTCCCATCGCTTCCGGAAGTTTATCGGCCGGTTTTGTGCCGGTTACCGTAATCCTCGGGGCCACGGTAGGAGGTATCGGAATTTTTTTGAGATGCGCCAGCCACTACCGTACCCCTTCCCGCCGGTTCGACTTGAATTTTTCGTACCACCGTAGCCTCGTCGCGTCGGGACCCAATCAGGGCTTTTTCGGCGGAAGTCATCAGCGATGTCCGCTCGGCTACCGTAGCCGTTTCTACGCGGGCTACCGTACCACCTTCTTTGCGGGACCCCGCTGAACGGCTTGAAGACGTGCCATCAACCAAGTGGATTGGCAGAGCCGGAGAGTTCGGCTTTCGGACCAGTATGAAGCGCCGTGGCTCGCTGCGGCGGGTCCCGGCTGGAATTGCTGGCACCGGGCCAAGTGGCTGAAATATAAGGATTTGGGCTAAAAACCAATTTTTTGGATCGGGACAGGCTAGCAGAGGTCATTTGAAAGGGAGGGCAGACTAGCAGAGATTGTTGAGGACTAGGAGAGGGCAGGCTAGCAGAGATTGTTGAGGAAGAGGAGAGGGCATGCTAGCAGAGATTGTTGAGGAAGAGGAGAGGGCATGCTAGCAGAGATTGTTGAGGACTAGGAGATGGCAGGCTAGCAGAGATCATCTACCCCCTTTGTTTCCATTGATGCGTCACCACTTTTCGCATCTGGCCAACCTGGGTTTGGCCCTCCACGGCACCACCAAAGAGTACGTCAATTTCCAGACAATGCCCCTTTGTGCCAGCCGAATCGTTCCCCACATCCCCGGCCCTGTTCTTCCACCGCTCAAAACATGGGGCGGGGAAACTACGCGACGCACCTGTGGACGCAGGCCGATTTGTGGTGGCTGGAATGACGGCAGAGAGGGCGGATTTTGGAGAAAAGGAGCCGATTGGAACTGCGGGAAGAAGTTGGGCCTAGAAGCGGTTTTAAGATGCTCAAGCCTAAGCCTAAGCTTATGCCTAAGCAAAGCCTAAGCCTGAGACTACGCAGAACGCACCTAAAGGCTTGGCGCGGGACGACGAATTTTTGCTCCGCCAACTGAGTGAGGTCGAGCCGGAGGGCGAGAGCTGGAAAAGAGTGTGAGCAGAGTTCATGGGGCAGGCTAGCAGAGATTGTTGAGGAAGGGGAGAGGGCAGGCTAGCAGAGATTGTTGAGGAAGAGGAGAGGGCAGGCTAGCAGAGATTGTTGAGGAAGAGGAGAGGGCAGGCTAGCAGAGATTGTTGAGGAAGAGGAGAGGGCAGGCTAGCAGAGATTGTTGAGGAAGAGGAGAGGGCAGGCTAGCAGAGATTGTTGAGGAAGAGGAGAGGGCAGGCTAGCAGAGATTGTTGAGGAAGAGGAGAGGGCAGGCTAGCAGAGATTGTTGAGGAAGAGGAGAGGGCAGGCTAGCAGAGATTGTTGAGGAAGAGGAGAGGGCAGGCTAGCAGAGATTGTTGAGGAAGAGGAGAGGGCAGGCTAGCAGAGATTGTTGAGGAAGAGGAGAGGGCAGGCTAGCAGAGATTGTTGAGAAAGAGGAGAGGGCAGGCTAGCAGAGATTGTTGAGGAAAAGGAGAGGGCAGGCTAGCAGAGATTCTTTAGGAACCAAATTCTCACCTTCATTCCAGCAAGTGAGCAGCAATAAAACGGTCCAAAAATTCCGCATCAATCCGCCATCATCCCGGGTGGTGGCCATAGAATTTGTGCGAACCGTTCATCGAGCCAGGGCGGCTGGGCAACCTAGCAGGGATTGTTTAGGAAAGGGTAGGCTGGCAAGGATCATTGGGGACGAGCGAGAAACCGGTATCCACAATTCCGAGGGAGTACTGGGAACCAGAAAGTAACAAGTGGGGGGTAAAAAGCAGGAAGGAGAAATCGAGGCGTCGGGCGGGGGGTTAGGCCTGGCTGATTGGTAGTACAGGAGGGCAGCGCGTAGTTTGTACCTTAGCATGTGAAAGGCTCTCTTACATTATCGGGGGGAATCAGGAACTGTTTCTGATTCAAAAATAAAAAAATCTGCTTTATGGACCAAACATGGCTTTTTGAGCATAATTTCACAATTTTAAAAAGTTTTTAGGACATTAAATTAGTGTTATTTCACCAAAAACACTAGAACACCACTTGCTTTTAAGTTCTAAAAATTTTACAAAAAGTTCGTCCTTCCCCGATAATGCGAAAGGGCCGAAATAATTCAAAAAAATTTAAAATAAAAACTACGGAAGCTAAAACGCTAAAAAAATTTGGATAAAAAGAGCATAACGATAAATCTTTGAAAAAGTGGCATTTCAGCTGATCTATCCGTCCAGGGGCGGCATCAAATCAGATGAGAGAAATGGTCTGTCTCTCTCCCTCTCACTCTCTCGCTCTCGCTCTCTCGCAGCAAAGGTGTGATAAAGCCGTGAGAGCGGGATTCCCTTTTCTTTTCCCCGAAAAAATTGCTCACCATGATGGATGTCACAGGGGGGATGGTGCTCGAAATTCCCGCCACACGCGCAGCCCCCCTTCAAGGACAAAGCGATTTTGGGAACAAGATGGCAAAGCGGGGCACAAAAAGATGAGTTTCCAATGAAGCCAAAACTGAGGGTGGCTTTCGGAGCTTTTCGTGAGCGGCGGGGACCTAGCGGGGGTCTAATTTTCATCAGGGCGTGTGTGGCGGGGAGCCTTCCGAAAGAGAGGTGAGACGAGAAAGCGAGAGAGAGAGCAAGAGGGAGAGAGAGCGCGAGAGAGCGAAAGAGAGAGAGAGAGAGAGAGAGAGAGAGAGAGAGAGAGAGAGTGATTGATAGAGAGAGCGCGCGATAGAGAGCGAGAAGGGGAGTGAGAGGGATTGGATAGCTCAAATTTTCTCCGCGAGTTTGCCCTCAATTCTCGAGGAGAGAGAGAGAGAGAGAGACGGAGAGACGGAGAGAGCAAGAGACAGGGCGAGAGATATACTGATCGCTCTAAACTCCTGCGTAGTTTTACCGCTTTTACATCCCATTCAATCCACTATCTGATTCGTCATCGTAATCCCAGTCCCCCCACTGACGCATCACACATCGAAAAAAATATTAATACCTTGAGGTAGATGAAAAATTGGTATAAAGGACCTGCGGGGGGAATACTTATTGTTTTGTTTTAGGGCGAGAGAGAGCGAGCGAGAGAGAGAGAGACAGAGGGTGGGGGGAGGGAGACAATTCATGTAGGGATCAACGTCGGGGGAATATTCAGACCCAAACCCCTCTATTGTTATGCCAAAAATGACAATTCTGAGGGGAGGGGGGTAAAATCCCCCCATCCATCCCCCCACCCCGGGACTGCGGTATAAATATCGGACTCGAATAAGGAGGCGCCAGGATTAGGGTATTGACCCTGTACTTCCGGATTGTCTTTACCGTAAGGGTCGCTACCATGATGTCGAAATGTCATAATGTCGACATACAGGATGCCGGCATTCCGTGATGTCGAAATTCGCGGTGCCGACATTGCATAACCTCGAAATTATCCTATTATAGATAAAAACATAGTGTCTGTGTGTGTGTGTGGATTTGCATGCAACTTCCGTCACCGTGTTCCAGTAGTATCTCAAGAAGGGAAGTACTTAGGGGTATGTTCGATACGTCATTCGGTGCGTAATGGGCTGGAGATAGCTGCACGCATATTAGATTTTACAAAATATGATGTTTTCGACATGTTTTTCATGGAAAATCGGACGCCGCAATTTGTTAGGATCAAATTAGCATGCACCGGAAGTCGCAGTAGCCTATATAAAGGGAAGGCAAGAGCATTTTTCATTTTTCGTCATCCGAATCCGGGAAAATTATGCAAAGCCAAGGATATCATTGGAGAAGGCGGGGCCAGGGTTAAAAAGCCGCGAAGCGGTTTTTCAACCCTGGTATAAGCTAATTTCCCCCGAAAACCCCCCGAATCCAACACAAAAAAGATTCGACTTTCTCGATTTCGGCATTATTAAATTTCGACATTGAGAATTTCGACTTTCCGTTTTTCGATATTATGATAGCAAAGCGACGTGATGGTACTGGACTGTTAACGGGGGGGTATAGCGTTTATAGGTTTTTTAGTTGCTCGGTATTATTTTGCTTCGGTGTCTGAAGTCTCTCGTTTCTCTAACTCTCGCTTCTCTCTCGGTCTCGCAGTCTCTCTCTCTCTTCTCTCTCTCTCTCTCTGTCTCTATCTCTCACTTCTAGAATGGTCCTCGCCGCCAACGTCGTTCTCTGCGTCAACTCCATCATCGGCTACACGTGCAATGGGACGCTAGTCTGCCTTATCGTCAAAAACCCAAAAAGCCAAATGGGCAATTATCGATACCTCATGCTCCTGTTGGCCATCTTCAACATCGTCTACGCCACCGCGCATCTGCTCGTGATCCCGGTCAGTTCCTGAAGGGTCTCTGCTCGCCTTCCTTGAGGCGGTGGACAGGGCAGAATTCCACAAAGCGTCTCTGCTAGCCTGCTAGTTCTTTCAGGTTACTTACATCCACGGCTTTGGCTTCTGCTTCTACTCCTCTTCCTTTATGGCCGGATACAAGTACAGTAAGTCGTTATTGTGGAATTCTGATGCAAGACAGGCTACCAGAGATCATTTGCTGGTGACGGCAGGCTAGAATAAACGTTCGAGAGCGCGGGCAGGCTAGCAAATGCTCTAACCGACGCATTTAGTTGGCTACGGTTCCCTGCTCGGCTACTGCTCCCTCTTCGCCCAGTCCACCATCCTGCTCGCCTACCACTTCATCTACCGCTACGCCTGCATTTGCAAGTACTGTAAAAATACTGTAATGTTCTTGTGCTTTTTATTGTACTATAAAAACCAAGTGCTTTTTCAGGCCCAACTGGCTGGCCCTCATCCACACGAAGCGCGTCATCGGGCTCCTCAGCGTCGCCTATCTGAGTTATTTCGGGCTCTGGGTCACGCTCCTCGACTGGTTTCTCGGTAATTTTATGAAGATTGGAGAGCAGTCCAGCAATGATCCTTCGGGAACCATTCCCAATTGGATAAACCTACGCCTAAGCCTGAGCCCATGCCCAAGCCTAAGTCTAAGCCTAAACATAAGCCTAGCCCTAAGCCTAAACCTGAGCCTCAGCCTAAGCCTAACCCGAACCCTAAGCCATTTCAGGCCCGACTCCTGAATTTTTTGCCCGGATCAACGAGGGACTGCACGAGTTCTCCGGGCTCTACCCAAACGAGACGGCCATCATTGGTGATAATTATTTTGTGGGTTTTAACGACAATCGTAAGAAGACATGCTAGCAGAGATTGTTGAGGAAGAGGAGAGGGCAGCCTAGCAGAGATTTTTAAGGAATCTACCATAAAGAAAGTTTTATAGATCCGCGACAACACCGGCCTGCACTTTAACATGCGCCCCTGGATTGCCCTTAGCGCCTGCATGACCATGATGAGCTCCATGTTCTGTGGTACGGTAGTAGAAGTCGGGTTCCGCAGTACAGCAAATCACACCATCAGATTTCAGTGATCTTCGTCTGTGGCTGGAAGATGAACGAAAAGCTGCGGAGTGCCGAAATGTGCAGCGCCCGCGGGTACCGGCTGCAGAAGCAGCTCTTCCAGGCACTAATGATACAGGTAGCGCTGGAGTGAATTGAGTGCCAGATTTCCCCCTAGTTTATCGTGCCCATCATCCTCGAGTACATCCCATGCACATCCATCTTCCTGGTGCCGATGCTCGGGGAGGAGATCAACCTGGAATGGGCGACGATGTGCATCTCACTTTATCCCATCTTCGAGCCGCTAGCTGTCATCTATTTCGTGAAGGTCGGAGCCGCCTAAACTATCGCTGCCAGCCTGCCCTCTTCTCTTCCTCAACAATCTTTGCTAGCCTGCCCTCTCCTCTTCCTCAACAATCTCTGCTAGCCTGCCCTCTCCTCTTCCTCAACAATCTCTGCTAGCCTTCCCTCTCCTCTTCCTCAACAATCTCTGCTAGCCTGCCCTCTCCTCTTCCTCAACAATCTGTGCTAGCCTGCCCTCTCCTCTTCCTCAACAATCTCTGCTAGCCTGCCCTCTCCTCTTCCTCAACAATCTCTGCTAGCCTTCCCTCTTCTCTTCCTCAACAATCTCTGCCAGCCTGGCCTCTCCTCTTCCTCAACAATCTTTGCTAGCCTGCCCTCTCCTCTTCCTCAACAATCTCTGCTAGCCTGCCCTCTCCTCTTCCTCAACAATCTCTGCTAGCCTTCCCTCTCCTCTTCCTCAACAATCTCTGCTAGCCTGCCCTCTCCTCTTCCTCAACAATCTCTGCTAGCCTGCCGTTTCAGGAATATCGCCTAACGCTCCGTCGCGCCATCTTCGGCACGTCGGCTCGCGGGTCTTCCGTTTCCACGACAGCTGAAGGGACCAACCAGGTAAAAAAAACCAAAAAAAAAACGATGACGCACTTTTTAGCACTCCAACAGCGACTCGCAGATGAACAGCTCGACGAAGAAGAAAAGCCAGAATTAAGAAAACATCCTAAATTTATGCAAAATTACAATGAAGCAAATAAACGCACTAAACGTGTCCTATTTCCCTAATAATTTCTGCTAGTCTGCCCCCCAGCTAATATCCAATCCGCACGGCCCTCCACCAATCCTTGGCCGAACAATTGGCTTTCCGCGGCGGCTACGAAAGCTGTTTTGTCGCCTCAATGGTAGCCATTTCTGACGCAGATACGTATTTACGTATTTATACGTATTTTCTTAGCCACGAAATTCCTCAAAATAAAAACCCCACATCATCCTGGCTCCATACCAAAAAAAAACTTTTTACAAAATAAATTAATTGTACAAACATAAATAGTGAAAGTCTTTCTAAATGGTTTTTACTATTACCAAACGTGAAAAGTTTACAAATTTTTATAGGCACAAAAGTATTTTTAAAAAAATGGATTTTCGAGAAAAAACATCGATTTTGAGCAAATTCCGATTCTTTAAAGTTTTTAGATAGTTTTACTAGTTGAAATATAGTTATATATTACCACTAAAAACACTATTCAAACATTTTCTATTAACTTAGAGGCATTGCTAGACGTATACAAAAAAGTCCCCCGGATAATGCGAAAGAACCCCCACTTTCCCCACAAATCCCATCCCATCACATCCAGACATCCATTACCATCTCTGCCCACCGCCGTTAGTAGAAAAATCCCGAAAACCCCCTAATTATTCGCCCCCCGCGGGCCCATGAAAATTTGATGAAATGTGATGGGGAGGAGCGTGTGTTTCGTTTTCCAACCCGGTCGCTTCCACCCCTCCATTTCCGTCGTGCGTCATTTTTCCGGAATCACACTATGTGTTCCTGGATCTTTAAATGAGAAATCACTTCTCAAAAGGTCCCTGCTAGCCTGCCCTCTCCCCTTCCTCGGCGGTCTCTGCTAGCTGGCCGACCCCCTGAAACTTGCTCTGGCCCTCCCCTGGGACGCTAATAATTAGCATCCTGCTGAAGGAGCCACTACCAGACAAAAGCCGCCACAAAACAATTTACGCGGGTGCAGGCATCTCTTCCTTTTTTTGTTTTCATTTTCGCTCTGCAAAAATAGGAGCTCCTAGCTGTTTGAGAAACATCGGGATGGCGCCGAAACTGCTGCCGCTGCTCTGCGTGCTCGTGCTCTGCCTAGGTGCGTTATTTTAGGGGTTTTAAAGTGTATTCTTGGGGATGGCAGAAGCAGAAAAAAAGAAGAAAAAGAATGGCAGAAAAGACAAGCGCTGCAAAAACTGGAACTTTTAGCAACAGCCTCGGCCTTCAACTGTTGCTACCTGCGCTCGGGGGGTCGAGTGTTGTACGTTTGCAGTGATATTTGCTACGGTGGGTGTATTCTCTCTCTCGCTCTCATTCTCTCTCTCTCTCTCTCTCTCTCTCTCTGTCTCTCTCTCGCCTCAAAAATCGCGCAAATTTTCCAGATTTCGACGACGGCTTCATGCCACGCGAGAAGGTGCCGGTGTACAATCTGTTGCGCTAGAATAAACCGGCACTGTTGTGCAACCGTTTATGTTAGTCGACAGCAAGTTTCGGGGGCAATGGCAAGGGCAAGTAGTGCCCAGAAATGGGGCAGAATCATTCGAGTAATCACACAAATAAACGTGAGCACAAAATGCATTCAAAACGGAGACCAGTGGCGTTTCTGGATGCAAATCGAACGGCATACGTCACTTCAAGCAACACGTTTAAAATGAACACCTACCCTCTCCTCTTCCTCAAAAAACCCCTGCTAGCCTGCCCCTCCTCTTCCTCAACAATCTCTGCTAGCCTGCCCTCTCCTCTTCCTCAACAATCTCTGCTAGCCTGCCCTCTCCACTACTATTAGGTACATTTTGGCGTCACCCCCCTGTAGTACAGGATTTATGCGTCACTGCCACGCCACCCCCTTTCAATGCCATGTTACCTGGATTTCTGCACCACCACCTAATTGTTTATTTAAAATTACAAAAATAATTAATTACAATAATATAAAAACAATAATTACCAAATTTTGCAACAAATGTTTATCATAATACATTTTTACAGAGAAAAAGTCTAGCGTTATAGCCGTAAGGGAGCACTTCGCCGTCCTCAAGCAGTAAACCTTTCAAATTTCTAGCATAATAATCAATATTAACGGGTTGGTTATAGATTTTTCCCAATTTCTTTTTGATACGTTGGTAGACAAATTGTATTGGTTCGATATCCGCCTGTCGTCCTTCAATGAGAGCTCGCGTCTGCAGCTCAAGATTTTCCAGCGTCGCCTTCTCTCGGTTCTCATAGTTTTGCGTAATGCCACGCAGCTTCGCCGTGTCCATTAGCTTGCCCACGTCGTCAATTTCCCTCAATACGTATTGCTTTGGACCGGGGGAAATGAAAATTATGCCACGATGTTTTGGATGGATTTCGCTAGATAGCTGGCCAAGACTCGTCCCACAATGCATTAATTTAAAAGCTTTAATTGCCGGAGAATCCCTTTTATGCAGATAAACGATACTGTCAGTATCAGTATAGGCTAGTGTAGCGCCAGCTTCTTCAAGTTTTCTCATTAATTTCACCATATGTAGACGAGCAGCTGCAGTTGTTATGCAAGCAACAGCCAAAGAACCGGTAGATGTAGAGTGAATTGTTTCGATGCGTGCTCTAGTTTTCAAAAGGCGGAAGCCACTTTCCGGAAAATCATGTTCTCCGGTCAAAACGATATTATTATCCGAAATTACTGCTAGAATATCCTCCCTATTTTTACACAATTTTGCATTTGCGTGATCGGCTTTCTGACCAAACTTTCCCCAAAGACTGTTACACATAATTTTTGCCAAATAACGTAATCCATCATTTCGTTCAATTTTCGATGGTTCCAAAACAATCCCAGTTTGCTTTTTAAAGTCCTCCACGTATTTCTCCTTCAACACATCGTTCGTACAATCCGCAGGCCATCCAGAGGCTTGTTGTTTAATAGCAATCATCTTCTTGAAATATTCAGTAAATAGTTGATTGGTCCATTGTTTCTCGGGCCAATAAATAATCTCATATACTTGAATTAGGCGATATCCATTTTCCAAGGCGTACTGCAGCTCATCACTGAACCAGGTGCCACGAATATAGCGTTCTCCCACAATATGGGTGCATTCTTTAGGTCCCAAATTGTCGCCAGAATCGATACAGTTTTTCATACAGGTATTACATAGCGGATATATCAACTGTCCCTGATAGCGGACAGGAAGAATAGCAATTTTGCAGTTTGTAGGTGGTAGAATTTGACAGTAATAAAATCCTCGATGTTTGAGTTTGTAATAGAGTCCGTTAGGTGTCGAATCTCGCCATTCTAGGGTTGCCGTCTCCGGAAGCCGAGGTCTCAGAATTTGCTTATACTTTCCCACAGGGTATTCGGTTTGGCAATTAATAAATGGATAGAGTGAATTAACGTCGTCGTATGAAATTTCCTCATCCTCAGCTGCCTTTGTAATTGTTCGAAAAGTTTGGGTTCGACCTCCCAAAAAGGCTTCTCTGGCTTCTAGAGGTCCAATCACTTCGACTTCATCGAAAAATTTGGCCATTTCCGGATCAGCGTCCAACATTTGGTAAATTTGACATTCCCAAATTTCTCTAATACATATCCCTCTTCGCGAAGTGTTTGCGAGCGTGCCATTGTTTCAGCATAGAGTTCGGCGGGTTCTTTTCCACCATGTCCCAGTTGATGACGGTTTGGAAGGCATGTATGGCCGTGAAAGTAGCATCCGTGAACTTCTAAAACGTGCAAATTTCCATTTCTTTCGTAATAACCGTCCACATAAACTTTACGTCCATTCTGTAGAATCAGTTTCTTTTCTCCTCCGTTATCCCAGTGTTGAATGTCGTGACCCTTCACTTTTTGGAGCCATTTAAGGTATTTTTGTGAAATTTTGCTGTGATTTTGATTAGAACCGTTTTCAAAAACGCCTCTCTCTGGTAAATGGGCGAGTTTGAGCTCCTCAGGCATATAGTTCATTCTAAAAGCACTCAGACAGGCACCAGCCAGTGTTAGACTGTATTTGAAGGGATCCAGGTTGTTGAGTTCTATAAAAAGTTTTCGGAAAAGCATACAACCTTGGAGTAGCACTTCACAATCCTGCATGCAGTACTTTACCAGCTCGTTCCGCAAATTAAACTTCTTTTCAGGGTTCTCTAATAAAAATTGTTGAATTTCTGAAATTTCTTCTGTAGTTTTTGAGGCAGTATTGTAATATTTCAGCGAAGGCCATGGCACATCTCCATCGAAGCGAGCGCAATTAGCATAAATTGGGAAATAGTCCTTTGTAGCAGGTATTCCCCAGGTTTTGCAAAATTTTTAGGGCTAC